ATGTATGTATGTATGTATGTATGTATGTATGTATGTATGTACGTATTGAGTGTCATTTGGAAGGAGACCCAGACTAGACTGCTGTGATGTTTCCATGTACATGCTCTCCCCCACACCTACCCCCTCCCCCGCGTTGTGACCGTCCCGGTGCGTTGCCTGATGCGAGTGGGCCAAAACTACGCTAAAGAGTAACGAGCAACAGCGGCCTGGTGCCCACTCCCTTCTCCCCCAGGCACGCTCACCCTAACCCCCCCCACACAGCTCTTTCGCTGACGGTTGGCTGCGCCCACTGCACGCCTAGCTGCCCCCTCAAGAGTCGTGACCGAGAAGCACCGACCACCACCGTGGACGTACGAGTACAAATACAAGTACAACCTTGGGACAAGCTCATTCTGGTCGAGGAGCACGCCCGCACAACGCCCCGTCCACCACCGCCGAGCGAATCAGCATGACCGTCACGAAACAGGGCGTCGACCTGCGCAACCAGGAGCCCTCCATCGGCTACCTCCGTGGCGGGATCCAAGAGGCGCGCGAGCACTGGCGCATCTACCTCAATGCCGTCTGCGCAGCCTTTGGTGGCCTCGCCTTTGGCTGGGACTCGGGGTTGATTGGCGGTGTGCTCAAGTTCGACTCGTTCCAGCGCTCCTTTGGTCTCGACAAGGCTCAGGCAGACGGCCCCATCGTCCTCGCCGCGCTCCAATCCAACATCGTCTCAGTGCTCATCGCAGGCTGCTTCTTTGGTGCCGCCTCAGGCCTCTTCCTTCCGGATCTCCTCGGTCGCAAGCGGGTCCTCCACGTCGCCTCGATCATCTTCCTCGTAGGATCCATCATCCAAACCACCTCTGCGCTCCATGGACAGACCCGCTCCACCGCTCTCGGACAGTTGTACGCAGGCCGCGCCATTGGTGGCTTCGGCGTCGGCCTCACGTCCGCAACGTGTTCCACGTACATTGCCGAGTGCGCTCCCAAGGCAATCCGCGGCCGCGTCGGAGGCTTATACCAGCTCTTGAACGTCACCGGCATCTGTCTTGCCTATTTCATCAGTGAGTGGTTTGGGCCAGCTGGCATCCCTGCACACGTGTGCACTGGGTGTATGCTGACCTTCCTGCCTCTCTCACCACCGCATTAGACTATGGCATCCAGATCCATACGCGCGACCAGTACGACCCAGCCATGTGGCAGAAGAGCTTCGCCCTGCAGTGCATCCCCGGTGTCCTGCTGTTCGTCGGCATGCTCTTCCAACCCGAGTCGCCGCGCTGGCTCCTGACGCGTAGCCGGCGCGCCGAGGCCGAGAGCGCACTCTCACGCCTCCACCGCCTCCCCGTGGACCACCCAAAGGTACAGGGCATCGTCAACGAGATCCAGGCAGACCTCGACTCACGACCGCATATGAACAAGGCGCAGCTCTTCCGTGAGGTCATCAGCGATAAGCGCCTCTTCTACCGCACCGTCGGCATCCAGATGTCCATGTGCGTGCAAGCGCGCATATGCTACTCGTTTGCAGCTGCTGATCCATATCCTTCTTTGCGCGCTTTGGGCCCTTGCAGTATGACCATCCAGCAGTGGACCGGTGCCAATTCGTGCGTCGCTTCGCCCGTACCCCCTGTTGCCGCATAGCGCATCCTGACCCGACCCTCTATTATGTGCGCAGAGTCACCTACTACTCGCCGATCATCTTCCAAAGTCTCGGTATCTCTGGCACCTCTGGCGGACTGGTGAGCTCGGACGCATGTTTTGGCGGGGGGCACAGTCGTCATGCGCGGAATTGCTGATGCCACCCTCTTGCTGTCTGCAGCTGGCGACGGGGGTCTACGGCGTAGTCAAGATCGTGACGACGGCGTTCTTCCTGATGTTCGCCATCGAGCAGATTGGCCGCAAGTGGGCGCTAGTCATCGGCGGCCTCGGCCAAGCGCTGTGCCTGATCTACATCGGTGCCTATCTCAAAGTCGCCGGGCCCTCCACGTCGGCGTCGGCGACGCCCACCGCAGGCGGCTACGCAGCCATCGTGCTAGTCTACGTCTACGTTACCTTTTTCGGCCTCGGCTGGAGCGGCACCTGCTGGAGCATGTCTGCCGAAGTCGCCCCAAACCACCTCCGCGGCCTCGCCGTCTCCATCGCTGCCATGACACAGTGGCTTTTTAACTTTACTATTGCGTGCGTGCGACGCTCGAGTTTGGCGGTGCGATTGCTTACATACTACAGTGCCCGTACTGACATATGCCGCAACCGCACCCGCTTCCGCAGCTACACCTTCACGCGCCTGCGCATCACCACTGGCGGCTTTGGTGTCTTCTTCATCTTTGCAACCGTCACGCTTTTCGGCGTTGCGTTTGCGACCTTTTTCCTGCCCGAACCGGCCGGGCTGACGCTTGAGACGATGCACTACGCCTTCGAGGGCAACATCATTCGCCGCTCCATCGCGGATATGAGCTTCGCCAAGCGCCGTCGCTTCCGCGAAGAACTCCTAGCGCGCGTCGGCGGCACCGCCGACATCCCGCACGACGCCCGCGGCGGCGGGGGCGCGGACGTTGAGCAGGCCATGCGCCAACGGCACTTACAGCACGGCCAGGACAGTGACAACGATGACCTCGCGCGGCGCAGCACCAGTTCCGGCAAGATGACTCCCGAGGAGAAGGATCATGCCAGCGCAGTTGGCGGGGTGCAGACGGCCACCCACGATTTTTCGAAATAGTCTAGTCTTTAGAAACGAGGGAACTTGTGATGGGTTGTTCACGTTGTATTTTTTTGGTCCCACGACAGCATCAGACATATACCGCACAGGCGTCTCGCCGCCGCCGCTGCTCCCGGGCTGGCTGGTTGGCTTGTTTGCCCTTTGTCGTTTCGAGCTTTGTCGCTTGCTTCTGAGTTCTGCCCACATTGCTTAAAATCAATCTACATCTAGCTCTTCACGAGATGTCCTTGTGGAGCCCTCCCCGAGGCAACTCTCGGCCGAGTGAATTTATTGATCTCATCTCATCGCAAGTCGCTGCGCGAGATGGTGTGCCTCGTTGGTTCTCGGCGTCCGTTAAAGCCTCTCGTGTCTCTTGTTGCCTGCATTCAACCGGGAACAGGCTGCACGCACATTCTCCCAGTCGATTGGTCTGCCTGACCAAACACATTCCAGCTCATCCGCGTGGAGATCCTCAAGTGCTGACCCGCCTCCCGTCAGCTTTGCCGCGGACGATTGAGAAGCGACGCGACCTGTAGGCGCGTACAGACCCGCACACTCCGCAAGATGGATATCGACAAGCTCTTCAAGGTGAGTCTGCGCGCGGCTCAGGCCGCTGCTGGTCCCGCGTTCAGCATTGACAACTGACGAGCGTTTTGGACGGACGCCCAACGCTCAAAGCGACCAAACCTACCCGCTTCGGCGCTCAAAAAGGGCAGCTGGACGCCCGAAGCAGCAGCTGCACACGCTTCGCGCGAATCTGCAGTTGAGGCCACAGGTCTTCGAGATGCTGATCAGCAGGATGGTGTCGCTGGGCCTTCGCGGGCCCGGCCGACGCTGAGAGCCACAGTGCAAGACGATGATGACGAGGACGTGTACGGACCTTCCATGGGTTCGATGGAGTCAGAAGGCCACTCGGCGATGGAGCAAGGCGACGAAGAAGAGGACAGCAGGTTCTTTGGTGGTGGACTGACGGATCAGCAGAGGCGAATACTGGACATTCTTGACCAGGAGGAGGACTCGGGGCCGGCCAGTCAGGTGAGTCAATTCCAACACCAAATTGAGTGATAGAAAAAGCGCGATGCTCAATGTGCAACCCATGGCAGTCGACAGAGATCTCAGTTCTCAAGAAGCAGCTTGTGCGCTTCGAGAGAACTATCAATCGTAATCAAGAGATGCGTATGAAGCACGCTGATGACCCAAAGAAGTGAGCTCAACGTATTGGAATAGACTTTAAACTGCAAGCAGCTCACATGCTTGGAAATACGCTGTGTCGCAGGTTTATAGAATCAGAAGCGGACTTGGACGGCGAAATTCGGGCACTCGTCATCCTCACCACAAATCCAGCGCTACTATACAAGGAGGCAATCAAGAACGACATACCTGCATCGTTGTGCTCGCTCATGTCGCACGAGAACGAAGACATCGTCGTGGCCGTCGTCACCCTCATTGAGGAACTGACGGATGACGATGTGCTGGAAGGCGCCGAGGAGAATGGACGGCAGATGGCAGAGTCGGCGATGTCAATCTTTGTTGATGCCTTGGTGAGTCTCTGTCCTACTTCAGGACTTACAAGCCAAGCCTACTAAATGTTCTATCGCGGCTGTCCAGCTCAAGAATCAAATCCTGGACCTTCTACTCTCGAATTTGGACCGCTTCATCAACCTTGTCAAAAAGTCCGGGGCAGAGCAAGATGCAGATGAGCAAGGTATCTACCACACTTTTGCCGCGCTGGATAACTTGATCGGACTCAATGGCAACGTCGCAAGCAAGCTAGCAACCAACGAGCGCCTCGTCAACCGTCTCCTGGAGCTCGTCAACGCCAAGGGAGGCTTCTCGCAGAACAAGGGCTACGCAGCCGAGTTGCTCGCTGTCCTCTGCCAGCACGTTTCGCAAAACAGCGGCGCAGATGCGAAGAAGGTCGTCGGCGGCAAAATGGATGCGATCGACGGCCTGCTCAGGGGGCTCTCTGCTTTCCGCAAACGAGATCCGGTCGATGCCGACGAGACGGAGTTCATGGAGAACTTGTTCGACGCTCTGTGCGCGCTGCTCGCGGACGATGGCAACAAGCAGGTCTTTCTCAAGAATGAGGGTGTAGAGCTGATGGTTATCATGTCGCGCTCCAAGCTTTCTTCGAGGTTAAAGGCTGTCAAAGTGCTCGATCATGCCATGTCGGGGCCAAAGGGAAAGGTGGCTTGCTTGCGGTTCGTTGAGTCTCTTGGGCTAAAGAGTCTATTCCAGCTACTCATGGCGAGGGTGAGGGCCAACGCTTTTTTTCTCAACGCTCGCGAGCTACAACTGACCCTCTCCTCTCTTGTCCCGCACGCAGAACAATGGCAAACGCAGGGAAGGACACGACATTACGGCTGAAGACGAAGAGCATGTTCTGTCAATCATGGTCTCCTTGCTGAACGCACTGCCTCGGGATAGCATGGAGCGGATACGATTTCTAGCCAAGTTTGTCGAGAAGGATTACGAGAAGCTAGATCGTCTGCTCGAGTTGCGAGAACGATTCAGGGAACGACTCGCCCGCGCGGACGCGGAGCAGTCTGCGGCAGGGAGGGTAAGTCGCGCCAGGCTGCACACCCCACCTGACGAGCTTGGCGCTGACTTTCTCTTCTTTCTCTTCTTATTCCTTGAAAAGCAGCTCGAGTTAGGAGAGGACGAACAGGAAGCCAAGGAATTGCTCCATCTCGAGCGTCTCGAGTCAGGCTTGTTCGCATTGCAACTGTGCGATTACATCCTCGCATGGGTCTGCGTCGAAGATGACGGCGTACGGGACTATGCCAAGATGCTTCTCTTGCGACGGGGGCAACGACTCAGCAAGGACGTTGCGGAGAATCTGCAGGCGTATTATTACGATCTAGGAGACGGTGAGGACGACGTGGTCGATGGCGCCGCAGGCAAGGTGAACAACGGCACAGACACAGACAGCGGTGGGGGGAAGGCGGAGCAGCCGACTCAGCGCGAGGTCATTGTCGATCTAGTCAATCAGCTGCTGAATGAAGATTGAAGCGACGCGGCTACGCAGACATGCTCAGCGGCGTGCAGACTTTTGCTTCCCTTGGAATAGGCTTGAGTGCTGTGCATCGTCAGGACAGATCAGTTGGTGCACATTCAAGCGAGATGTTGCCTTTGTGCACACTACGGTCCCTCATGCGAAGGAAATGTCAGCGGCGACGTGGGCTTGTGAAGCGGCATTCCCGGCCGAGAGGGACTCTGTGCATCTTTTGTAAATCCGATCTGCGCTCTATTTGTGGCTGCACATTTCACAGGCCTCGGTCCCCGACGCGACAGAGACACACACAAGTGCGCTTGGGAAGTGCATCCGTGTGAGAGAGTGGGCCCGTTACCCGTAGTACCCCGCGAGCGCTGCAGCGCCAGGCGATATACTGAAGAATTGTCAGCAGAGAAATGAAATTCTGGCGGCGTGAGATCTCCATGTCCATACTACCATCGTCGACGAACTTGGATCACCTCCCCTCTATTCCCCACAATCAGCACCTCTCTTCTTGACAGATAGGCTTTCCTGCTCGATTGCACAGCCGGAAGCAGGACCCTCGCTCTGTCGCGCAGCTTTTACCCGACCCGCCCAAACGCCCTCCCACGCACACTCGCTAAAATGTCCGAAAACGGCGGCACGAAGAAGATCACCTTGGAGCAGCTGCAGCAGCACAAGGATCACGGTGACCTGTGGCTGAGCATCGGTGGTAAAGGTTAGTGTGTGATATGCTGCCAGAAGCTACCCCCCTACGCAGGCACGATGGCGCTTCGAGTCTCCCTCTCCGAGGCAGCTCTGGCCAGTAGTTCATGTGTCGGCCATCGTATCGCTGATCCTGTTTCTGCGGCTACCTTTGTGTTGTTTCCAGTCTACGATGTCTCCAAATTCATGGACGAGCACCCAGGTGGTGACGAGGTCCTGGTCACAGAGGGCGGCAAGGATGCTACGGAGGCGTTCGAGGATGTTGGCCACTCGGAAGACGCACGGGAGTTGCTGGGACCAATGCTCGTTGGCGAACTCGAGGGCGCGAAGGTACGTCTGCATCAGTGCATAGGTAGAGGCTGTGACATCAGCTTTGTTCTGTCCGCCAGGGCTGTCATTTTGAGCGGTTGGGAACAGCTCTCGGTCTCGGCGGGGAACGAAGGAGTTGCTCCTCGACAGATTCGTCGCTGGGTACCCTGATCGAACCCAGCAGATGTGGCTCACATTGCTTGCTCTTGCCCTTTTACTCCCGACAGATCGCACCCCAGAAGCCCAAGTCCGCTTCCGTCGACCCAACAGCGGCATCTGCAAGCAAGTGAGCCTTTCTCGAATTCGCAATCGGCGTGTTCGCGCCCAAGGCAAGACTGCTGACCCCCCCCCCATTTTTTCGCCTTCCCTTTTCGCTTTGAACTCAGCCCGCTTCTCATGTTCCTCCCACTCGTCTTCCTCGGCCTCTGGATGGCGTACAGGAACTACGCCAGCTAGATGACAGAGCTGTGCAGCTTCACGCAAGCGTACCGTGTAATGCTCACGTTTATTCTAAGATTGCTTAATACATGCCGTTCGCGCGCGGTTCAAGGGCCCACTGCCCACATGCGAAGCCGCCATAGCGCCATCGCTGTGGTCATCAGCTGCTTGTGCGAGATTTCAGACGTCTCGGCGTGATTTACGATCGGCGATTGCGTTCGCGCATGGCGAATGAGCTGTTCCGCATGTTTCAGCATTCCTTCGCCGACTTGGACTGCCTCTCCCTCTTGTGAATCCGGAATGCTGGCCAGCAACGCAGATGCCCTCCCTATCAGATGCGATTTTGGAGAGTGCTCGGATTCGATCTTTGGGGCAATGCCGTCTCCTGCGTCATCCGCTTGCTCGCGACTGGCGTGTACAAAGCTTGCATCGGCCTCGCTGAAGCCAGCACACTGCAGCGCATCTTGCTTGAGTGCGGCGTGCGCAAGCGTAGCGAGCGTATCCGCACTAGGCATGCTCACGGATGTTCCGTTCGGACGAATGCGTCGTTGAATGCCTGAACAGCAAAGGGAGACAACTGACATGAGAGACACGGCCTCGCTCGTTTGTATTCTCCCCCGCCTCACGTACTTTTCGTGACAGCAGCTTCCAGCATGTCTGAGTGTAAGAAGATCCAGGCACTCTTGCCCACGAATCCTTTCTGCTGAGAGAGAGAGGGAGTTGGGACCAGTTCAAGCTGTCTCAAGGTTAGAACTGATTCGCCATTGTGTTTGTTTCGTTTGCCGCCGGCGGTGCTGCTCGCTATAGCGGATTCATGTTGTATGGGTCTGAACTTCAACTTGAGCATGAGTCCTATTAAGAGCGAGCGACGATGAGCACTCATCCAGGGAACAAATACCCTTTCTGCCCCGTCTGCCTCACCACTCGGAAGCATCGTCTTCGTGATGGAGCATCTTCTCAACGGGGTGGCCAGCAAATTTACTGCGAAGAGGCGCGACATGAGCATGTAGCTATCTGGAACCCATAGCGAAAGAGCTCACAGTGGATGCTGCGCTTCCAATCGGCTTCTACATCCCTGAGAAGAGCCTGCACATCGGGTGTCCGGCCGTCGTACGCAAGCCATCGCCGTTCACGAGATGTCAGGGCAGCATCTCGAATGTAGCTCAGATCCAACTCTCCTTCGGCCAGCTCAGCTTCTTCGGGAGGCAGTATCACAGAAGGGAAGCTGATATTTCGAGAGACTGTATATCTCGCCCAAACGGGGAGATTTGCCGCAGCTGCCCGTCCATGGTTCGAAAGCGTGTTCGGGCCAGATGGTGCGAGAGCTGCGGATGCATAGCTGAGCAGTTGCCTGCCAAAGATGCGTGCCATGCCATGCTGCTCTCAAGCACCCTGACGTGCCTAGTCCGTGCTCCTTGCAGCACTTACGACGCTGTCCTGGGTACCACAGTCTACGCACGAGCTGGTGTAGGGAAAGGCTGCATACGATGTGGTCAGCGACCAACCCAGTCTCCCAGAAATTATGCTTGCAGCTCAACCTTTTTTGCGTCGCGACTATTGCGATAACCCAACGTGACGTCGTCCCTTTTCGCCAAGCGCATTTTTCGATCGGGTTCGTTTGTCCACCTTTAGTAAGTATTCGTGCTAGATCCATATGCTTCGTCTCCTTCGGGCCAATATAGTCTCCATCTACTATGCAAAAGATAGTTCCCGCAACTAACAAGGTCACACAAGAGAGCCTTCAGAATGTCTTACCAGCCGTACGACTATTCGTACGCGCAAAGCAGCGCAGCCGGGAGCTCGACAGATCCATACGCTGCATTTTAGTGAGTTCTAGAGGAGAAATACGAGATATGTTGTATTCGTGACAACGCTTGGATTGCTTTGCAGCTCATGGGATGCCACGACGAATCAGTGGACCTTCGACTACGACGGCTACTATAGGGCTTATGGCTCATACCCCGCGGCGGCCGATGGATCTGGGGGGTACAGTGCCGCGGACCTATCCACGCAGGCTTCAGCTTACAATTACGACGCTGCTGGCTATGCTAGTACTTCAGGAACCGCAAGTGCCACGCCAGGAGTAGCAGCTGCCACGGATGCTGACGGAAAGCCAAAGAAGTTCGTTCCAGGGCCGAAAGATGCGGATGGCAATCCGCTTGCTGGAAAGCTGCAGAAGGGAGAAACCAGAACAACAGTGTTGAGGAAAGCAGCGGGGAAGATATGGGAAGATCCAACCCTGCTAGAATGGGATCCGAGTGCGTACTCCTTCTACTTGTTTTGATCAGCACTGCGCCCATGTCCAAAGCATACTGACCCATGGTGTGTGCCGGCTGTTCACTTTCAGCACACAAACGACTTTTCATTGGCGATCTGGGCAATGACGTAACAGATGAAGTCCTGACTGCGGCCTTCGAAAAGTACAGCTCCTTCGCCAAAGCCCGTGTTGTGCGCAAGAAGGGCGACTTGAAATCCAAAGGTTATGGGTTTGTCGCGTTTGCCGATCCGGAGGACTTTCTCAAAGCATGGAAGGAAATGGACGGCAAGTACGTGGGTTCGCGGCCGATACGGATCAAGAAGGCACAGGACACGCAGCATGTCGATATCGGGTATCGAAAAGACCGACTCTTGGCCAGTAATAATCGCTACGAGGCCTATGTCAAACGTACCAAAATGGGTGGCGCCGTGGGCAAGGACTTGCGGAATCCGGCGACGGGCAAAGCCTATGGCCAGAAGCGGTAGCATCGTGCCGAGGACTCCGTAGGTGACAGATGACGCTTGTACTATGATACAGTGCAGTATTGCAAAAAGAGAAAGATGGTTAAAATGCAAAGGAGAGAAAGAAGCGAGGCTTCACGCCCACGGACTCGGCTCTTCCGGCGGCACGGAAGGCCCTTGCCGCTCGTTTGTCCCCCGCTCTAACGCCTCCAGATGTCGCCTGCGCTCCATCTCCCGGTCCCTCTCTTCCTGCTGTTTGTCCGCCTCCTCCGCAGCAGCATTCGCCTCCTCCTGCAGCTGCACCTTTTGCGCCTCTTGCTCTGCTAGGATCTCTGGATCGCCCTGCCGAGAACCTTGCATGCGGTCCGGGGGTGGCTCGTCGGCGTCCGTTTCGCGTTGCGAACGCGATTGCGTGCCTGTCATTCGCTCCGAGGCAAGCGACCGGCCGATCACCAGGGCGGATACTGCGCATCGCCGAGATGCAGCCAGGTCAGAAGCCGACAAATTTCACATCAGCAAAGAGCTTTTTCTCATTCAAAAAGGGTTCCCGTGCAGACTACGCACCTTGCCCCATCCGGTAGTAATCATCGTTGTTCATGGGGTTGAACATGCTGATATGTGCATCGACTGTGCAAGAGCAGAAATCGAACACAAAGGGACGAGTCAGTCAACCCCTTTGGTTTTCCCTGCACCGCGCCGACATGTAAGCGAGCTCACCTTCATCCTTTGCTCGCTATTGTTGATGCGACCCAAACAAGATCAGAAAAGCCAGGAAGGGTGTGAGCGAAATCGATAACCCTCTCAGATCAAGCCAAGGGCACCTCTCGACGCAAAGTACTAACCGTGTTGACACAAGGCGTGAAGGACTTGGCCACTTCCTTGTCCGCCGGTGGTAAGATGATGAATACCCTGCTTGTCCCGGCATTGGCAGCTCCCGCACCACTACTGAAAACCGCATTCGAGGTGGGCCCCAAGCGTGTGTAATAGCAATGAAACAGGACTTGCTCGAGCTTTCCCAGCTCTTCGATGCGACGATCGCTACCTGACCGGTCCCACAGCGTGCCGACAAAGTCGAGATGCGAGCTGATCCAGGTGTACGAGCTGCCGAGCGTGCCGCGCGATGCGTAGAGGCCCGCGCCCGCCGCGCCTGCGGCTAGGGCAGCGGCACCCGTCGTGGCCCAGCGCCCCCAGCCGCTGCTGCCAGAGCGGTTGCTACGGTTGCTGCCTGCAGCTGTTGATGCTGCGCCGAAGCCGAGCGATGCACCGAGCGCGGCGCCGAACGGAGCTAGCGCGGACGAGACGTCCGATGCGACTTTGACGTAACCGCTGTATTTGTCGACGCTGTGTTTGAAGACAGCTGGGTGTACACCGAGGTACTGCAGGGAGGCAGAAGAACAAACATAGGTCAATGGAAATGGCCAGAAAGGTGAAAAGGGTAGGACGCACCGGTGTGTCATACGCCAGGACGGCACAGACACGTGGCCATAGCTTGCCGTCGCGCAGCCCGCCTTCGTTGGCGATGCTGAGCGCTGCGTCAGCCGCTACGAGTCCACCCATAGAGTGACCGCAGAGTATGACCTTGACGCTACCCGCACCGCCCCCGCGCCCCGTCTCCTTGGGGTCCTTGGGCCTGCCGGACTTCTCATCGAGCAGCGGCTTGGACTCCAAGTTGACACACAGCGCGATGAGCCACTCGGTGAAGGACTCGACGGCGGTGGAAAGCTGACCGCGCGTATCGTACGTGGGGTAAACGCGCGTCTCCACTGAAAGGGCAGGGTATGTTTCGCGGAGGATGTGAGCGAGGCGTGAGGGGTAGTCCTCGAACGTCGTTTCGGCAGAGCCTTTGAAGCTGCCGCGTGCAAGAGCAAGTAGGGCACCGGAACATGAAATGTTAGCTTCGCTCCGAATGACCCGTACCAGCGCTCGTTGCGCTCACCCATGTATAAAAACAAGAAGCAGTAGCACCCCTTGCGTATCTCTCTGTCCGATCGCCGGAAGCGGTTTGGTCTGCGACTTGGCCATCACTTCGAGCCGATGTTCGTCTAGTAAAGGCGCTGCAGCCGCAGGAGCTGACTTGGCTGCTGCAGGCCCATTGGGCCGCTCTGAAGCTAGCGCCGAGGAAGAAGAAGAAGGACTTGCGAAAGCTCCAAATGCTGCGCGCGCTTCTTCCTCTGGGTCCGCGTCCATTGGCGACAGTAGGAACGACGGCGCAGTTTTGGCGCGCGGGCAGACGGGAGGGCCAACAGGCAGGCAGGCAAGCAAGCAAACAAGCAGGAGAGAGCACGCTTTGAGAACTACGAGGAGGCCAACAGTCGGCGACACGGTAAGGGGTTCCTTCGACCAAAGTCTCGCAGCTGTATGCAGACCCAATCTGCCGCCGCACAACTGCATGTCATGGAAACCACTGGTGTATGGTATTCCCAAGGCGGAAAAGGCCACACTCCTGCGGATGCGTGTCCGTTGGGGTATGGGGGCCGGAACTGCTCCCGACGGCATGTTGCACCGAATTGAAGGTAATGCGCCACAGCTGCCTGATTGTCCATGTCCGGGCCGACACCCGCTGTCGGCCGGATTACGTAATTCCCTGTGCCAGCCAGTGGCCACCAAGTGTTTCAGACAAGGTTTGTCGAATGATCGAGATCAGCTGCGCCTTGCGGCGCAATGCTGATCACCATCCCGGCCTGTGCTGGGTGATGTTCGGAACAGCTACTGTTTGTTTCAAGGGTTGAAGGCTCCGTTTTTCTTCCTACCGCGCCGGTGGTCTTCTTCCTTTCCTTCGGCAGCACCTAACCCATCTGTGTCAGCGTCGTCCAAGCAATCCTTCCCTGTTCGATCTTGGCCCTCGCTTTCGTCGCTCCTCCGTCCCCCACCTCGGGCCTCTCGATCCTCGCATCCCCCAATGCAACTGCTAGGGGTTCACATCCAGCCATGGACTACGTCTACCGTGCTCTGTGAGTCAATTGCGATTCGAAGAAATCTACGGCCTCCTGTCCATGCTGCTTGATGCGCGTGATTCGGCCAGTCTGGCTCGATCTCATACTGCGACACACTCATCCAGCATCCTTGGCCCGTTTGTTCCCAGTGACAATGGCTATATCCCCGACTTTCTGCTGGTAAGTCTCCACGCTTCTGCTCTGCCACTTTGACCATGGCTCATACTCGTCACGTTCATGCTTCAACTCTCTCTCCAATGCAAATAGCGTCTCGCAATCCGCCACCTAAATGCTGAGCGCCTCGCCTCGCTCGCGGCGCACGCCAAGACATACACTTCAGAAGCAGCGTACAAGCGCGCCTACATCTCCTCGCTCTCTACCAACTTTGAGAACGGCGCCATCGCGATCGAGACGGAAAAAGCGAACGCTCAGCACTATGAAATCAACACGGACTTTATGTTGAGTTGCTTGGGTCAACGCGCCAAGTACAGCTGCTGCCTGTATGAGACGGGTAAGGAGACGCTTGACGAAGCAGAAGGTGGGTGCCGGCTGGCTACCCTTTCCTATTCAGCGATTCTTTCACCTAATAAAGCCGGCCCTGCCCCAAACGTATCACCTATGCATGTGTAGAGGCAATGCTCAACTTGTATTGCGAAAAAGCCCAGCTGCGCGACGGTCAAGACGTCCTCGACCTCGGCTGCGGCTGGGGTTCGCTGTGCCTGTACCTCGCCGAGCGCTACCCTAACTCGCGCATCCGCGCCCTGTCCAACTCCAAGACGCAGAAGATACACATCGACGGCGTCGCCAAGCAGAAAGGCTTCAAGAACCTCACTGTCTTCACGGGAGACGTTAAGGAATTCGAGTTTGGCGAGGATCATCGCTTTGACCGCGTCCTGAGCATCGAGATGTTTGAGCATGTGAGGGTCTGCGCTGCGTTCCTTTGCACCTATCTGGTGCCGTTTCAAGGGATATACAGATGACAATATATCCCCGTAAACACTACCTGTGCAGATGAAGAACTACTTGGAACTCTTCGAGAAAGTATCCCGCTGGCTCAAATCGCGTTCGAAGAGCGACGACGACTCATCCAAGCTGTTCATTCACATTTTCTGCCACCACAACATGCCGTACCACTTTGAAGAGTCTGACGGCTGGATGGCCAAGAACTTCTTCACGGGCGGCACGATGCCGAGCCATGATCTGTTCTTGCACTTCCAGCAGCATGTCGTGTTGGAAGATCGCTGGTGGTGAGTGGTTGGGAGTACTTGCGGAGCGGTGATGCTTCGCATCCCTGGGCTTCTCTCTCTTTCTCGACTCGTACTGACACATATTCCTTCACCCATTTCCGCTCTCTTCTCGCCACCTCTCGTCAGGCTCAACGGCACACACTACGCGCGCACCTGTGAGCACTGGCTGCAGCGGCAAGACGCCGCGGCAGCGCGCAAAGGCGGCAGCGGCGGAGCGATAGACTTCCTGCGCGCTGACGCCGTCGCCAAGGGCGTCCCCGCGTCCGAGGGTGCCAAGACGTTCTGGCGCTTCCGCGTCTTCTACCTCGCCTGTGCCGAGTTCTTCAACACGCCCAACAAGCACGGCGTCAAAGGCGAGGAGTGGGGTGTCGGGCATTACCTCTTTGCCAAGCGAGATTGAGGTGGCGCACGTCGATGACGCTTGTGAAACAGGAAAGGAGTTGTATAGACGACTCATGTTTTTTTCTGATGTCATCGGAAGTTAACTAGACATCTGCATCGTCAATTTAACCACGCAAAACCTGCGCCACTGGCTCCCAAACGACAGTGCCCTCAGTGCCAACTACAATGACGAAACCAAGCAGCAGCACACTGTTGTCGATCAGAGCAACGTAAGCTTCTAACAAGCTTGGGTTGGAAGCAAGGAATGCACACATGCGTTGACCATCAAGGTTTGTTTCTCCCAGGCATGTAGACTACAATCGAGCTCCCCTCATCACCGACCAAGCAGCAGCATGGCATTCAAGAAATGTCAATGCCGTCTGCGCTGGACACAGTAACTGGGTGTAAGCGTGCGAACTGCTCTTGATTCAATCGATTGGAAGTTCGTCCTGAGTTTTGCAGAAGTCCAAAGCTAAGCTGAGCTGTACCAGCAGGCGTAGCATTGGCAAGCCTGGCGCACTAGCTGCAGCACAGCAAAACCCTGATATTGCTTAGTAGAGGCGCTGAGGGCGGCCCATAGTGCTCTTGCAGTGGAGCGAACCAACGTTCTGCCATCCCTTCTTCAGCAGCGAGACGAGGAAGTTGATAGCAAGCATGACGTTGGCGAGGAGCTGGTCCTCGCTCATCTCAGCGTTGCCGATGGCGACACCCAAGCAGAGCACCTTCTTTAGCTGGAACTTGATCGTCGACTTGACCTCGTTGACCTTCTTCTCAAGGTCCTCCGAATGAGAGACCGGCGTGGGGAACTTGCCCGCCTTGGAGAGCCCGGGGCCGAGCAGACGGGGGATCTGCTTGATGAGTGCCTCAGAGGCGAGGAAAGCGTCGTACTTCTTGGCGAGCTTCTTGACGAGCTTCTTGTTCTTGTTCAGCTTCTTCAAGTCCTCGACCGTCATGAACTCGAGGTCGATCAGCTTGGCCTGGTCGACATGGGCGGCATCGGCAAGAATGCAAACTGACATGCGCGGGCGCGGGATGTTCGGCAGCCTGATCGTGCCACTGAAACGCTTGTCACGCTGAGGGTCGTAGTTCTTGAGGCCGATCTCTGCGAGGTAGCGGATGCGGTGGGCAGAGTGAGCAACGCTGGCGGGAAACGATCCATGAGGAGGTAGACGCAGTATTACTCACGGAGCTCGATCGTCTCAGCGAAGTTCCTCTTCTTCTCCTCAGTCCCCTTCAGGACGACCTGGAGCTGGGTTCGCACGCTTGACACTGCAATCTTCGACATGATGCTAGACACAGGAAGAGAAAAGGCAGGAATGAGGGGATATGGCGAGCGACAGTCAGCATTCTCTGGCGCAACAGCAGATAGCGTCGAGTTCACTCACGATACCTTAGTCAATGACTTGAAGTCGTGGGAAGGAGTCAAAGGCGAAAGTAAAGAAGGTACGGATGGTTTGGATGAAGGGTGGGCTCAACCGAGTCTTGCAGGTGGTGAGTTTGAAATTTTATTGCGCCCACTCGCAAGTATTTATCACGTGACAATACGGTTGACGTGCACGTGACTTATTTTCGACCTGCCGGAAGCTGGCGATCATCTAAAGCCGGGTCCACGGTCTCCATGCGCCGATACCCGAAGAGTTCTTCCGGCTTAAAATCTGGTTTTGGGCTTCGGTGTGTAGTCACTCAGAGGCGCACATACGCTCTCTCAAGTCCTCCCTAGTCCATACATATAGAATGACCTAAGATGGACCTCCGGGGTGTTCGAACATCTTCATCTGACGTTGAAATACATGCTGGAGAAGCTGAAGCGCGAGTGACACTTTGTGGCGCTGGTAAAATCACAAGAGATAGGTTCTAGACGATTTACGGCAGCCTCACTTGCAATTTGTCTCCCAGCATCTACCGAGAGCCCAAGCACCCTTCCCCCATCGTCTCGCTCTCCCCTACTGCTCGAAGTTGCCCATCGATGGGCGCATTTCTGCAGGCCGTGCTTTCCCAACTTCAGCGCGATGGCCACGATGGTACAGCGACGTACGGCGGGCACTCGCTGGATGCCGAATGGTCGATTGGCAGCATACCTCAAGGAGGCTACTCGCTGTCGGTGATTCTGAGCGCGGCGATGGACTTTATGCGCCGACCGGAGCAGGAACAACATGAGATCAAGCATCATGATCCCATGCACATTTCGGCATCATTTCTCGTCGCTACTATGTGTCTACAGCTTTACACGGTTGAGATCAAGCTCTTGAAGAAGGGGAGAGGGTTGAGCTCGCTGCAAGCAACTCTCACACAGCCGGTAAGGTGTTGTCCACCAAGTGTGCAACTTCCCAGGCTGACGTGAATGAGCGACTTATATGAATAGTCCTATGAAGATGGCAAGCCCGTCACACGCATCCACTGCATCATCATCATGTGCAACTTCGAAGAACGCATTAATGACCCCACTCTAAAGCCGACTCTGCGTTTCGGCGACCCGTTCTATCCGTCTTGTCCCATCCCTCACATCCGTACCTTCAAGCCATCGAATCGATTTAAGGCGAAGAAGATGAACATGCGTGATCGTATGATCGGATATGATCTACCCGGCTACACAGAGCGAATAATGCAAGAGAATGGGAATTATCAACGCGTCAGTTGGCTCGAGATCACGAACGAAATGAATGACGAGCGATTACCTGTGGGGCGAGGAGCAACCTCGCTTCCCTTTTTTGCAGACTTTGGAGGTTCGTTGCACTGGTGATCAAAACAGCCCATAGCGCCTTGTCCTTGCTCACATGTCTCAATGATGACTTTTCGTTCGCGGAACCAGACAACATCAGCCTATCAATACCCGGAGAAAATAGGGATGCGTGGTTACCAACGCTGCATCTCGCCATCGAGTTCAAGCGCGCCGTGCCGTGGGACGCGCCGGTCATGAAAGTAGGGCTCTATTCTACCAGCCGGCATGTCTATCAAGGGCAGAACGAGCTCGATGTCGAAGTCTACTCCCACCCGGACGATGCTGAGCGTCTCGGTCTGCCGCAAGGACAGGACAGCACGATCCTCTGCATCTCCAGGCAGATTGCGCTGACCCTGCCGCTGAGCGTCAATCTGGCGCAGAATAAGAATAAGGAAAAGCAGTCGGGCGATAAAGCCAAGATGTAGACATAAAGCACCAGAAGCTAATCCACATTCACCGCAGATCTGATCTGCGCACAAACGGCACACCCATGCCACTGAGAAGTGTTCTCGCCTTGTCTGTTGCCTTTTTTCCTCGCTGATTTGTCACGCAGTCGATCTGTGGGCAAAATGTAGCGCACAACAACGGCTTGTTCGTCAGCAAAGCCAGCCGGATATGCGTCGGCTGGTCGCAGGGTACCCTTACCTGGAAGCCGTAGCTCTTGCCGGGATACGAGTCCCAGTTCACCTCGAGCTGCGGGAACAGCGGGAGAGCCTCGGGGCCAATGCCGAGGGACACAACGCCACTAAGCGCCGCGGGACTCATGGGCGGCTGATTGGGCGGTGGCAAAAGGAAGCCGTTGAATGTCCTCAGTCTCGGCAGGACAAAGTTGACCAGGGTGTCAATGAAACTGTGCGCTATGGGGCCTGGCAGGACGGCTTTGACGCCTACTGGCATGCCCTTGCGCAACTTGAAAACTGCCACGCCTGATTTGGCACGGATGATCTGGATGTGCCCCTGCGTGCTGTTGCGTTCATTCAAATCTGCGGGACTGGCGTTGGACCCGATAACAGGCAGACCAGTGATGGCTCTGAACTGGGAGAGAAGGGGCACGAGAAGGTTCTTGTTGACAATCGCGTCTTTGACAAAGCATGTAATGATGACTCGGTCAAGCTTGACGAGGTTCCGAGCCGGATCCTCTGTGATGATGTGCGTCGGACCTGGCGGGGGGCGACGATTTCCTCGTAGCGGACGAGCGGGACGGTTCTTTGTGTAAGGATCTGATGGATCCCATTCCCGCTTATGCTTGTTAATCTTGCGCTCCCGCTCCGCTGCCGCATCCTCCGGTGAAATGTGATCGTACGTCATGTACATCAGGTCCAGTGCGAGCGTGTTGCGATACATTTCCTCCAGGCGGTTCAGACCGAGCGGGCCGATCTCGACGGAAAGCGGAGAAAAGATGTTTCGTGGTGGCACATGATCCAGAGACCTCCGCGAAGAGGAAGCAAAGCCGCGGGATGTCGAGGCGCTTATTGGGGAGTAGCCCGGCGTTGACTGCAGGAACCAGGCCGGAGCGCGAGCAGCTCTGGATACAGAGCTCACTCCGCAGGCGCCGCCCTGGGCGCTGCTGCGGAGCACCTGTCTAGATGTAGACGCCACGTTACTCATCCTAGGTGAGACGGATCTCAGTGCAGTGCGAGCGAGGATGTCGACGTTGCCAGCTCGTGTGATCGTCGCAGTCGAAACGACGCATTCGATGGAATGAACCAAAAATGCTTTTCTTCTTTGTCGCCGCTCTAGAGAACATTCATTTTTAAACCGCCGGCATTATTGTTTTTCTGCGAAAAAAAAGAAAGAGCAGCGTGAGCGCGACGCGACTTGATGCCAACACTTGACTCTCGGCCAGTCTGTTGTCATGAGTATCACCAGCGGTCGCTACCCATAATCACGGCCAGAGCAAGGCCAAGCGAACGGACGGACGCAAGCTGTGAACGGAAAGCACGAAAAAGAAGAGCGGTGGAGATGTCGACCGCTTCAACAAGCACCGCACCTACGGGCGGCACCCCGCTCCACCTTGCCTCGGACCTCGCTGCACGCGTCCGAGCGGCCGCGTTGCGAGAAGCAGCGCGGCGGTTCCGTGAGAGGGAGGCGCAGCAGCTGGAGAGTCAGGCAGCTCTTCCAGCACCCGACGATGGGCCCAGCGGCGGCAGCAAATCTTTCGCCGATACTACCGCCCAGACCAGCATGGCGGTCGACGACGAGGAGCTCAGCGTGGACGCGGAGGAGAGGCACACAAAGCTGCTCAACGCGCTGCGAGACGAGAAGGCGAGGAACGATGCAGAATGGGAAATCGTGCAGCGAGAACTCACGAAACTGGGCAAACGTGTCAGCGGCGCTTCTGATGCGCAAGATGCCGCGATGAAGCGGTCAATACGCGACAAAGAGGTGCGGCGCTGGTGGTCACTGAGCTCGAAGGGTTGCACCCGTTCGAGAGGACTGAAACAGGATAGTATGCTTCCTTCTCTGCTCAGATCCAACTGGCCCAGATAGAATATCACATCCAGCGAATGGACGAGAGTGGGTCGACTCCTCGGAGGCGTCGTGCCATGAGCTTATTGGCTTCTTTGGCTGACCGATCATATCATCCTTTCCGTGATTGACTGCTTGTGTACCTTCCAGAGGTGGCTGATCTGGGCCCAAATACGTCGGCTCTCGTACGCGACGTCAAGGCGCGCGGGAATCTGTCCGATGTGATCCTTCAATTGCAAGATGTCTTGATCGACGCGGAGGCAGACGTGGCTCGCGCTCGACAATCGTTGCAGAGGTGAGCTCTTACACAAGAATGGCATCTTTCGCGCGATCTGACACCCTTTACGAACCCCATGGCTGCGCTCCGCTTTCTCGTCAGTGAAAAGCAACTGCTTTCGGATCTCACGCTCATCGAACAAGGTATGCAGATGCGGCAGCGGCAGTTAGAGCGCAAATCGACACAATTGACCGAGGAAGAAGTGATTGAGTGCGTAGCAGAGTAGCGGGTCTGCCAGCAATCCAAGAGGGGTGTACGCTGACAGACGACGAGTTTTCTTTTCCCTCATGCCTACTTTTTATGTAGACAATTGAAGACCAAATTACGGACAGAGGAGGAGCAGCTCGGCGAGCTGCTGAATGCGTTGATTCGAACCTCAAATGACCTCTTCTCGGACGACGACGCCCGGCTGCGCGTCCAACTGCGCAGCCTCCTCGATGTGAGCAATCGCTTCCATTGCTTGTTCATTGCATGCAACTGACGCACGGAACACACTTACACGCACACCACAGGCGCTCATGAACCAAGCATGGGACGCCCCCGCTGACCCGTACATTACGATCGACAAGCACCCCAAATCGCTCGCGTCGTTTCTGGTGCGAGCGCATGTCGCTCAGGAGCACCCACGCGATTCGCGCCGGCTTTGCCTCGTGCCGTTCCAGAAGGGTGTGCGGTGATGCGCTGCGCTGTGCTCTGTTGTTGCAGCTGAAGCCACCGCCTGTATTTCTATGCATTGTCATTATTCAGCTTGCATGCCTCGCTGGACTTGGTCGCAGACCGTTCCCGCCTTTGGCCAGACACGTGGATGATCTGAGCATCCGCCTATATGCTCTGAAGTCGGCACGCTCTGTGATTGTTAGCTACGATTGCCTCAAAGTTACACACGATATAGCCCATACAAGTGACGCTGCCAGTGGCCTTCTGTCCGTCCTTCCCGCCGTCCATCCAAATGCCATCCTTTGGTCTGCGAGCGCTGGCGATTTGCATTCTGAAAGCCGCAAAGAACTTCGCAATTTCTACAAGTTGTAGCTGAATATCCCGGAACGCGAAGACACGCCCCGGAATATGCGATATGCGGAGTCTGCAATTTGGCAGTTGGCGGGCACGTGCGAGCCGGGAGTGCAAGCACGAGGGGCACTGTGCGAGTTTGGGTCCCTCGACGCTGAACACTCGAGAAAGGCGATTATCTCTCTGTTACTGCAGTTCAATGATTCCTTTGCTGACAGATCTCCATCTCGGCACAGACACGCAGTACACACATATCTCTTCCTTACTCGACGACAACGACATCCGAGACGGACTGACGGCTTCCGCAGTGAACAGGATCCATCGCAACACGCCGCTGGACGAACGCGGATGCGCGGCCAAGCTGAACCTTGATTCAAGTGACAAGAGCCCTAACAATCAAAGATGTCTACACAGCCGCTCCTGCAGCGCACAGCCGGCAAGCGCATTGCGCTCCCCGTCCGTGTTGAGCCTAAGGTGTTCTTTGCCAACGAGCGAACATGTGAGTTTGGAACCCTTTGCAATCGAGTTGGTGCCAGACGAGCGTCCGTCCTTCTTGCACGCGAGGGGAGGAGAGAGGGTGAGGGTGTTCTCTCCTGGCTTTGTTTCGAACCGAGATGGGGCTGCGAATGGATCAAGTTACAAGTCTCCGATTGTGAGGCATAAAAGCTCCACGTGGATGTCGTCGATGGTCGTGCTGCATCGTCGTGTACCCTACGGGTGCGTTTTACGTTCCATCATCGGGGAAGTCTGTAGAGCCTTTTCACATGACCACTCAGGACATGGCGGCAGGCGAGGCGGGCGTGGTAATTGTGCTGCTGCTGAGTCGCCACACTCAAGCTGACCTTTTGCAAATTCTTCCCTCTTGGCATCGCATAATACCCACGACACAAGTCCTATCATGGCTCTCCTTCACCGTCACGCTCTCTGCACTCGCCGCGGGCCTGCTCAACTTCGGCGACCAGATTGGCCGCATCAGCGCTGGCATGTTCAGCTTCGTCGCCATGGCCATCATGATCTACGCGCTGGTCACTTACCACTGGCGCGCGCACGCCATCCGCAACCGCGGCTCTGGGCCCTACGATGACCGCCTCGGACCCACGGCGCTGTCCATCATGCTCCTCATCGCCGTCCTAGTCAACTTCATCCTCCGCTTCAACGACTGAAAAGGCCCGCGCGACCCCTGTGGCTCCCTTTGTTTTCGCTAATGGGCTGATGTATCGACACACCCAGCCCGTGTAACAGAAGTTTCGGTAAAAGGGGAGCAGCAAGCGATACCATTCTCTTAGTTCAAAACCATCTTCACCATGTATATCTTTGTACCCCGTCCATAAACGCATGCATCAATCTTCAGAAAGCCCAGCTTCGACCCTTTATAATACAAGGCTTCACCTTGCTGCTAGACTAGGGAGCCTGGAAGTTGAAATGACGGATGGTATCGCATCAAAAGAGGAAGAAGGGTTCATTCCGTTGCATTCATTAGATTCAAATCATTAGCAAGCATCATAAAACACATCTTTGCTTTCAGCCCAAGGTATCCGAACGAGGCTGAGAATTGCGTATGTGAGCGAACTGTCAGAGTGATGGGTTGAGCCGCGATGGAGTGGAGAGGTCCAGCCTCGAGACTGCTGATGGAAGGGGTGATGGAAGGGAACATGCTTCACTGCGCCCCTGCGTCGATCAACCCAGTAAGCAGAGCAGTGGAAAGTCTAGCGAGCATGATGCGCTGCCCATCGTCGATGCGACCGTGGAAGCAGCCACAGTCAAGCAAGGACGCGAAGCCGCTCTCCTCCAGGTACGCAGACGGGCCGCCGCGCCGTGCCGTCTCTGCTGCTTGCGCCGCGAAGACGGGCTCGCAGACTGCGATGCTCGCGATGGAGTGGACGGCTTTGATCACCTGCGGGTTTTGCGATTTGACAAAGACGTCCTGCATTCCAGGTGACAGCCAATCGTAGCTACAAGTACCATGAAGGAAGCAGGCTCAGTCACTTACGCTTCAGCTGCATGGAGCGTACAGGTCAGCACTTACAGAATGGAAACAATGGCGGGCCGAGCCAAAGCGGCGTCGGCAAGTAGCGTGTAGAGCAACAGCTTTTCGTCGTCCGACGTTGCGTACTCCAACAGAGCGGCGACAAGCGTCGAGATGAGCAATGCTTCTTTCTTATCCGCCGCTCCGAACAGGCTGAACAGACTCCAACTGCCTTTCTCTCGGTCATCGATGACATGCTTTGACACATCGGCATCGATTCCTGTCATTTCGAGCAAGGAGCTGCAATCTTCGGATGAGACTGCAGTTGGGAGAAGCGCGACGAAGTAGCCGAGATGATACGATGACAGCTTACCGTCGCGCGCATGAGGTCGTCCATCGATGTCATAGGATGTAAAGCGGAGCAATGAGCGCAGCACCGCGATCGTCTCGGCTTGCGTCCGTTCCGAGCGGAGACCCTTGACCAACAAAGCCGCCATGGCGAAGCCAAAGTCGAGCTCAAAGTCGACGCCAGTCTCATCATCTAGGCGGCAAGAAGATTCTCTAAATTCCGTTCTTGCCTCGAGCAGGAATGTCGGAAGATCCCTGCCGCTCTCTTGAGGAAGATTGCGATCCCAGATCGTCTGCAGTGCAGAATGCAGGAGCTCGACACCAGCCCGGAAGGTGGGAATGTGTCCGAACTGGACCATGCATATGCCAAGCCAGAACATCTGAGGCAAGTATCGAGAGCGCCGCGGTAGGATCTTGACGACTTTGCTCAGACAAGCAAGAATGCTAATCATTGGCCCGTCGTTCCCGTTGTTTCCCCATTCGGAGATGCTACCCCGCAAAGACACCAGAATCTGATATAGGAGATCGTCATCGATCTCCCCTTGCGCCAAGCAGCCGAGCAAGATGAAAGCGCGCGACTGGATGAAGGGATTGTACTGGAAAGCTGTGCTCGTGATCAGGCTGGTCAATCGCGCTCGCCAACTGTTGGCAGTGTCTACAGTCGGCGCCGCAAGTTCTGCGATCTGATAAACTCGGAGAGCTAGCACTTCAATCTGCTCGTTGGTCGGGCTTTCGGTGAATATGTCCATTGACCCTGCAAAGGGTGCAAGCTCCCCGCTGCGCAGCCCGAACAACTTGAGAGCCTCGTCGCCAGCAAAAGTGGCGAGAAGAGCTCGCAATTTGGTAGTCCCGGGAGGAAGGGCAGCATCCACTTCGCTCTTTGCCTCACGTGGGTCTTCGGTGCAGAGGGAGTGAATGAGATTGATGCCCGAACCATGGATGGCTCGTCGCATTGCGTCCGAGCCAGTACCTGCGAGGAGCAACAGTACGTGCAAGAGCTCCGGCAGGTAAAGCATGACCTCCATGCGATTGGTGAAGGAGAGGACCATGTTCATGCGGACGAGCGTTGCTATTTCAACCCATGCAGCGTTGTCTGTAAGTGGCGTCGCACTGGGAGCTTTGGCGGTCCTCGCGATAGCCTGTTGACGGTGAGGGAGATTTCAGCAATGTCCAGCAAGCAGGGACATGGATCTACTCACCTTCCGCAGACGTGATAACAGCTTGCCCCGGAGATTGAAGGAAGTGAAGGACACCATAGTGTCAAGCACGGCTTCGAATGCCCTTGTCTGCAGCCCGGAGTCTACCGCAGCCTCAGTGAAGACTTCTAAGACAATCGGTAAAAGACCATCAAGCTTGCTAAAATGCGTCCAGACGTTGCGTTGCATCGTGGCGTAAAGCTGCAAATGCACATCATGTCAGTACGAAGTCTATTGGCCCACCGATCGCCAACTTGCCTCCGGATGCTGAACGGTGATTTTGATTAAATGCCCCAAGACCTCTTTAATCCTCTTGAGATACTCAGATTGCTGCTCACGAGCACTGTGCATGAAGCTCGAAAGGTTGGAGAGCCACGGAACCATATACAGCAAGCATGCAGGCCGCTGGCTCGGAGCTGATGCCTCAAATCCCTCGAAGAAAGAAATGAGGAATTCCAGCGAAACACCAGGAGCCGCCACAGCGAAGTCCTTGCTCAGGTCTGCAACAAATGTGGTCATGTTCGCCGGCAGGGCGAGGCCTGTTTCGAGAAGATCGCGTTAGTGACATGCCCAGCAATGCGCGCGATGCCAACTCACCCTGCACACTGAGCAAGCGACGCTTTGCACTGCTGGTGCCGAAATTGAATGAAGTTGAGAGAGCACAAAGGAGGTTGTACGCGCTGGCCCTTAGCATGTAGTCGGTGCTGGTCATATTGAGTAAGGCCATGTTGAGCAAGGTTCCAGGAACGTCGCTGGGCATGAGTGTCCGCTCTGTTTTAGTAGCGGCTGTCCGCCCAACACGTGCCTTGGCCTGGCGCAAGGATTGCACAATCTCCGTACGATCCTTGCTGAGGAAAAGGAAAGCAGACCTGCCACCTTTGCACGTCAGAATAAACGCTGTTTCTTCGCTTCGATTGGTTACTGGCCGAACGTCGTCGATGTCGGCGAAGTGGATGACCTCATTCGTGTATGATGAACGTCCCATGAACATCTCTTGTAGCTTGAGTGACATGATTTGCAGGTGATCGCTCCCTAGCCGGAAAGACACCGGAAGAAGTGCTCGGTAATGACTGATAAGCGTTGCGTTGGGGAATGTGTGTTCCACAGGAGCCATTGCGATGCTCATTGTTGATGCATTGAGGTCGATGTCTTTGCGTGCGATGAATGCTTCGAGTTCAGCAAGCGAGGTGCAGAAGTGAACGTCGAGATTTGCTGGCGCAGCCAATGCATTGTCAAGTGGGCCCAGCTTCTCAATCTCATGCAAGAAGTAAGGACGAAGCGACTCCTTTGTAGAGCTGTTGGGATTGAATGCGATCAGGTTGCGCAGGCCACGCCGCACTTCCGACGGAAGGAGCGAGGTCCAGTATAACAGCCATTGTGGCGGAATCCAATGCTCAGACGACATTCCAGTCATATCCAGCAGAAGATCGAACTCCCTGTTGAAGAGGGGTTGTAGCATTTGTAGAACATGCGCAATGAGAGCTTCGAAGTCGAAGCTTGCGGCACGAATGCTGCTTATCGTGTAGTATACGACTGGTCTACCAGCTTTCGAAGGCGGCCCGATCCGGAAAACCTTGGCAAAAGCTTGTGGATCCAGGTGCCGGTTGACGTTGCGTCTCATGAAGTCCTCGTACGACTGACGATTGTCGACACCAACATTCTGCTGTGCTAATACCACTGGGGCCAAAACGCTGTAATCACCCATCTCCGCAAGCGCAATGCAGAGATTCTCATAGATCCTCTTGCTTTCGTCAGAGGCCGCGAGATCGCCTTTGGCGCGCGAACTGGCGCTCCTTGAAAGCAGATCCTTCCCGATTTTGTCGACGTTGTCATACAAAAACCTATGGAGCGATCGCTGGTCTGATTCGTTCAAAGTGTACCCTAGGGCGAAGATGCTGTGCTGACCAGCTGATGCTCGATCGAGTTCCGAGGTTGCATCCGATACTTGATCCAGGAAGTTGGTGACCCTCCAGACGTTCCTCTTCAGGAAGTCGTTGAGACTCGTCATGAACGGCTCCTTATGCGTCGGGAAGAGATTGTTGCTAGCCAGAGTTTGGAGAATCTTGCTGACCAGCAACAGCCCGCGTCGAGCTTCCTTGGTCGAGGAGCCGAGGTCCAGATCGATCAGTTGCGGAGCGACAACGGCGGGGCTGATGAAGCGTAGGAACATGAAGCCGCCAACGCCTTGGTAGCGCGAGTTGGGGAACTTCGCATCCATCAGGACACGAATTCGCCTGCACAGCTCTTGCAACACGGCAGGTACCCGGTGCGCAGAGGTACAGATAGCATCGATGAAGGATTGTGCTAGCTCTTCTAGACGTGCTTGGTTCACTACGACGCTCTCGCCCGGCTCGATCCTTTGCGGATCGATCTCGAAAGACACCCCTCTGGAGCGAGAGATCATATCCACGACAAGCGGCTCCAGCACGGACCGAAGATATTCGTAGCCGTGCATCTTGGCGTAGACTGACAGCAGATGAGTCCGGAAGGAGTTGCTCCTGAACACCATCTCTTCCGAAGGTGTGCGCTCGACTTCCTCCTCAAGAGCCAAGCCCAGAAAGCGCATGACTTCGCCTCGCGAGTCGAAGATGTTGAGCAGAACATAGTCGAGCGAGTCTGCGTCGAAGCCGCGGGAGATCTGGCAGATGGACAGGGCCAGCTGCATGTCACCTTCGCAGATCAATTCGACCATTTTGTTTTGCTGCTGAGTGCCAGCCAAGCGCTCGAGGTCTTCAAATTGCGCTCCTTGAGAGATGACGTTGGTCATAATTTGCATGAAGGCTGTGCGGATCCGTGGGTCTTCTTTGTACGCAAGCGGCAGAGAGTGCTGAAGGCCAGAGTCGATATTGGATGCCAACAAGTTCGATAAGGCGAGGATTGCGGAATCCTTGATGACAGCGCTGTCACTCTGCGAATCTCTACCTTTCTCGCTCTTCATTGACTTGGCTTCGAGGTCGCGTGTGCGGTTGAGGACTTTGAGGAAGTAGTTGAAGTACATTGAGAATTGTCGAGACTTTGCCCATTCCACCTTATCGTCGAGGAACAAGGCATCGTCTGCCAGGATGAGCGGTAGCCGGTCGAGCAGACTAGCAATTGTCTTGAGGCAAATCACATCCAAGTCACGCTGCAGACGCTCGGACCGCTCACTGCCGCCAGCGTCATCGGCCTGCGATATGAATGAATAAGGGTTAGCACTAAAGTGTGGGAGGAGTCTGAGCTTCCTTGCATGTGTCTGCTCACCGAATCTGAGGTCCAGGTAACTAGCGCCTGGAATAGTCGATTGCGAACTCGGAGCTCGTTGGAGAACAGGAATGCCGCCTTCTTTGACATCAATGTCTCGCAAAGCTGGCACATGGCGACCTTAATGCGCAGCGCCTGATCTTTTCGACCGAGAGAGTTGACATACTCAACGTAGAGCACCATCAAGGAACCAATGTCAACATTTGTCGTCGCATCAGCTTGAGCGCTCATGCGATTCAGCACCATCTGCACAACGCTGATCGACTGCTCCACGAAGACGGTGAACATCTCAGCAGGTCTTGGCAGCCCAGTAGATTTGTCGAAGAAGTCGCTGAGAACCGCGTGGATTTGCCGTAACAGAATACCATTTAACCGAGGACTGAGGTCGGTGCCTAGGGTCTCTTTGACCTTTTCGCGTACCCAGATGGAGTCTGATACCAACAGATCCACCATCTCCTGCATGAAGCTTTCAATCATCGGCACCGGTGGATTAGTGTTGACCAGCTTGGGGTTGAGCAGAGTGTCTTGAAGAGTGCTGGGAAGCAGGTTGGCGTCTTCGATCGCGCAAGCACCGCCAAGGGCCGAGAGGAACCCCGAGAGGTTGTACCAGTATGCGGCCTTCTCCTGGGCGGTATCGCTGGTATCTGCAGCAAGAGGTCGTGCAACCACCTGCGTGAGGGCCGCCCAGCGCCGATATGCCTCTTTCCATGCCGCCAAGCTGGCTGGTGAGGGCGAATTGATCGTGCGCAGCAGACTTCGCACTTTCTTTTGCTGGGCGATCCGACCCACGAACAGGCTGGAATCTTCAGCAAGCTTGTAATAGAAGTCTCTCCACTCCTTGCTCGGGTTCTGACTGCTGTAGACGTCCGCGAATGCATCATGGCCCTGAGCAAAGGAACGCCCTAGTTGCATTGCCCCGTGGCAGATATCCGGCTCGGAATTGCAGATCGTCAACAAGACTGCAATTTCGGCGGTCACATCCTCCGCCGCACGTTCTCGCTCCAAGCTGCTCCACGGAGACTCTCTTCGATCTTGGGGCTTGAGCGCAGCGTAATAACGCGCGCGACCTAAGAGCAATGGTCTAAGGATGCCGACGTGGAACTTGAAGCTTGCTGGAGAGTCGCCCCAGATCAGGCGTTCAAAGAGTCCGGTTAGTGTTGTGGGGGAAACGGTTCCTCGGGCCAGCCTCGCATGCTCATCGACAATGTCACCGCGTGTCATCGACTGCATCGTTCTCGATGACGGGTACAGGCAAAAAGCCAACGCGCGGAATGCAGTGACTTCCATCCCTGGGGCATGCATGCAGAAGGCGGTGGACCAAAACAGCGCAAGGTATGTGTCTGTGTTGAGACACTCGATGAGGAAGCTCTCCGTGTAGACCGCCTTCTTATCCGGGTTCCGCTGTGGAGTCTCGCTTATTCCAAGCCCAAATTTCCACATGTCCTGATCTGCGCACCAGAGATTGAGGATGTTGTTGGCGAGCTCGGTGCGAGCAAAAATCTGGTCGGACGGATTGGATGCAGTCCGCGACCCTCCACGCGATAGCGGCCGCTTGGATTCCTGCTTTCCCACCGCCACACCGCTTTGGCGGCTCAGCTTGAATGCAGTGTCTTTGAAGATGAAGCGGAATGTCTTGGCCAGCTGTGGATACAGCAATCGCAGTTGCGGGTGCCATGGCAGCCGGCCGAAGCCTGATGCGACGCGGATGCAAGCTTTGGCCAAGACGACCTTGGCTGAAATTGAGCCGTTCTCCGCGGCGAAAGGTGGGATGAGTTCCTTCATGGTTTTGTGAGGGTCGAGGCAGTAGAACGAGTGCATCAGGTCTGTCGCTAAGATTACTTCCTCTGCACGGGGTGTCCCCGCGGCAGTTCGCATTGGTTCGAACACCTTTTCGCGGAGCTCGCGCTCGATATCCGGCACGACGAGCCGCAAGCCAGACTCCGCCCGCTGTGTGAATGCTGCAGCCCGGACCAGATCGACGCAACAAACCGCTGCGACATCGCTCAGCTTGCTGGTGCGCAGACTCTTTCGCAGTCCTTCGAGGAATTGCACTTTCTTTGCCACGCTACCGCTCTTTCTTCCCTCGCCGATGGCTGCTCGCCCAACGATATCGGGACACAGCATCAAGAGGGAGTTAAGCATGGGCCAGAACCAGAGCTTCTTGCGTGTCGATTCCGCGAGATTGTAGACCTGATCGAAGAGCACATCTGAGGCGCCTTCGAGCCTTCTGCCAGTCGCATACATCTGCGCAAACTCTTCTGGGTGGTAGTAGATCCAGTTCCAGATGCCTCGCCGCAGTGCGACCGCGATGGTCTGTTGAGCCGATCGCTTGAGATGCAAGAAGGTGGTGCAGAGCTCCGATACCACTGAACCCAATCGTTGGCGGTGCAAATTGCTGCATTCGAGCAGACGCAGTTCCGCAGTGTTCGGGCTTTCCTCTATTGTTGTACTAAGATAGGCAAGGCGGTTACGGATCCTGGCGAACACCACCGCCCAGTTGCTCGAACTGAGGTAGAAGATGACCATGCTCGCGTGTCGATAGATGCTCGTCATCAATGACGGAAGGTCATCCACCTCGCCGAGCTCTACAGCCTCTTGTGTTGTCTTGCCATGCAAATCGGCGAGGTGCCAGTCGCGATTGAACTCTGGTGGAAAATTGCCCTTGGAGTGAAATCGCATCCCTGCACTGCCGAATGGCGAGAGTGTTGGAGGAAAAGTTGGGAAGATGGAGAAGAGTGGGCTGCCCTCGACCAGCAGTAGATTCGAAGGAGACCAGGCATCAGAGGCTTTGTCTCCGTTGTCCGCGTCTCTCCCCTCTGCATCGTCCCTGTCCCCGTCTTTTCCCTTGTCACGATCCTTCTCTTTCTCCTTCTCCTTTCCGGTTCTTGAAGAACCGAACTTCAACGCATCCCTCGGCAATCCCAAGGCGCGATCCGCATTCTTCCCGCCAACGGTACCATTTTGCGGCGATTTCAAGTGATCAGACCCGCGTTCGGGGACCTCGGCGGCTGGGAACGATGAAAAGAGCCCAGCCTCCTCGCGCGCGATGGTGAGCTTGAGATAGATCGTCATGGTGCTCAGTGCATGCTTTGCGAGAGCGTCATCGAGCGGCGGAGGATCGATCCAAGGGCCTTGTGAGCTCGTATCTCGGCACTGGGAGTCGGCAGGCTTTGTTTGCCCGACTGACTTCCAGTGTTGGAACAAGCAAGCAACGAGGACCTTGAGCAAGAAAAGTTGAGAAGCCAACAAATCCATGCCAGATATCGATTCTTCTGACACATGTTGTGCAGCCTGGGGCACAAGCGTCGAGACATGAGGTCAACAAAGTTCTCGGGCACTTTAAAAGTCAAAGCGGACTCACCCTCTGTAAGCCCTCCAAATGACTTAGGATGTCTTTGAGGATGATGGAAATCTGACGCTCGCTGAGGCTGACGAGATTTGCAATGCTTGTTCGGATCATCTCATCATTTTCTAGAGTAGTTAACCTCCAGCCACAGGTTGAGGGCAGCTATAACGAAGTGGGAGTGTCTGTTAGGATGGATGCACAGGCGGCGGAGCTACCCCTACCTCGCGTCTGGCGCAACTCACCCTCTCGACAAACCTGCTCAGAATGCTGCCGATGAGCATCTGCCCGGCAGAACCCATCATATTCTCCGTGCCGATGGTGCTCCCACTTGAGCTGACCCTGCCCGGAAGTTCGAGCGGTACGGCAGACGAGACACCTGGTATGAAGCTGCCGGAGTGGTCTGCCGGGATTCCAGCATGAAGGGCAGCGGTACTAGAGCTGCTGCTGTGAGCAAAGGCGCTGGGCCCGCCCATCATGCCGTGCGCGCTGTGAGGGAGCGAGCTGCTGCTTTCTCTTTGGGCGATGCCCACTCGACCGTGGCCAGCATTGCCAAAGTGTGAGCTGGAGGAGAGGGAGGCATGGTCGTGGTGACTGCTGTGGACGTCATTGTCCGGCTCGTACGGTGGCCCAGCGCCTCCCAGCGGGATAGTCATTTTGAGAACTTTTGCTCTATGAGGGTTGCGCCGGCACGATCATGGAGCGTGACAGCGCTGAGCCCCTGCATGCGCAGCGAGGTTAAAGATAGAAGGATGCGATGCCAGCTCGAAGCTGGGCGAGCCGTGAACGCGGTGGGCGCCGAGCGGGTCCCGTTGCAGCTGCGGCACTCGTCCCCTGTGGAAAGCTACTACTATATGGAGGGCGGCGGCTTCGACACTCGACAGATGACACACACTCCTTCTAAAAGAGGACGTCACCTATCAGAGCTCCTGGATTCTGCCAGGATATGGTCCGAGCCGACCCGACCCAACACTAACAGTGATCGCGGATTTGCGGTCAACAGTCCTGGAGGATATGCAAGTATGTACAGTGCTTTCGAGTATACATAACAGGGCCTCGCTGATGAGAAGATGTATGTCTCAGATTGGTGGGAGAGAGTTCATGTGCAGCAAGCCAGCCGTGAGCGGGTTGGCGCCGCGCGCGACTCAGAGAACAAAAGCGAAGGAGCAGGAGAGTAGCCCAGCAACGACCCCGCCTCCCTCGCGTGGAGAAAACGCCGGGAAAAGGTATTGTGCCTCTCCACCCACTTTCCCCATAGTCAGCTGCTAGTCAAGCCCCTCAAGCCAATTGGGCCCCGCTCAGAGCCCATATATATAGCGCAAGCATATTCTCCATCTCTCTGCCATCGGTCATAGGACTGCACCCAATTCGCTCATGCGAGTACAGGGTGGCACCCTGTGACCAGTGACGATGCGTCTTGTCCAACGCCACGGCGGAAAAGCGGACATGTAAAATGGGGAGATACTGATTGTATTTTTAGGATGTAGGAGGACAGATATTGCTGGGTGCGGTGGTATCGGATGAAGTGCCTTGGGTATTCAAGCTGTTTGTTAGATGTAGAAAACATGTTGGCTACATGTGCTAGAGTAAAATGACTTAAGAGTATTGCTACAGAGATGGATGCTGACGGGAATGGTGAGACGCAATGTGGCATGTGCGCCAATGGATGGCGAGCAGGCCCGCGCGTGCAATTGCGAGTTTGGGTATGCGAGTACTTGATACGAGCCCGGACGTTCTGGCCTTCAGTATAGCGACGGCCGGAGCCTGTCTGACATGGCACGCGCCGCAAAGAAACTCTCTTCATGCTCTGCAATTGGCTCGGGCGACGGCGACAAGATCTGCGACAGCCGCTTGGCAGACCGGATGTCGCTCTCGCCACTGGCAGTGGCGGCCAGGCTGCCAAGCTTGCCAGCGACTGCCGCGGCATCCTGTGGCGTCGGCGGCTGGATGACGACGCGAACGCGAGGCGGCGGAGCCGGCGTCCAAGCGGAAGCCGAAGAGTAGGACGCATCAAGGTCCAGAGCCCGGAGCGTGCTCGCACTGTTGTGCTGAGGCAGATGGCGCTGCTGAGCGCCGTGGCCTGTGACGGAAGCATGTTCGAAGGCCTTGTCGAACGGCGACGACACCGAGCTGCCCGACGGGCTCAGAGATGGTGCTGGGCTGGAGTATGCCCAGTCAAAATCGAGCGGGCTCTGACTGAATGCTTCCGGCGTGGGAGCATGGGCAAGAGAAGGTGAGCTGGCATTGTTGAAATGCATGGCGCGGAACGAGTCCATGCTGGGGCGGGCCTGCATCGGTCTTTCTCCAGAGAAATGCTTTTGAGAGGCAGAAGATGTACACGGCGGTGCCCAGACCGTCGTCGGCGACCACGGCATGGATGGCGAGCGAGGCTTGGGTTCATCGACGGTGCCCATGCGCGAATCGAACGTAGTGACGTAAGGTGGTGCTGAACGAGGAACGACGTAATCGTAAGCTTGGTGAAGCGGCACCCCAGCCGAGGCGGATGCTTGCAGGGCCGAGGCTGCCTCGCGTTCCCTCCGGCGCGCCAACCTGCGGCGCTTTTCTTGACTCATCCGAGCCCTACCCTTCCGACGCGGTGCCTCGTCCGTCTCACCTAGCGAACCGTCGGCAGGCTCCGAGCTGGGCATAAGGTCTTCTGACAATGCGTGGTCGGCGCTGGCTCTTCGCTCGGCCATCGGGTCCCAGACGAGCATATTATTCTTGTCGCCCACTGGGACGGAGCGACGTCGGGACGAAGGGATGGGGAGTCGAAGCTGAGCATCCACAATTTGTAACTCTTTTTCGAAGCCATCTGTCAGATCTTCAAGATCGAGAGCCGAAAGAGCTACTTCTGTGGCTACTTGCGCGGCATGGTGATTGATATCTTGCTTGGGTGCTGGCCTAGACATCACTGAGGAGGCGAAGGTCGAAGACCGTGAGAAAGTAGGCGAGAACTGCGGCGACTTTTCTGGAGGTGATGATGATGAATGAGGCACCTGCTCCGCGAACTGTTTCGATATGCTAGCAGGGGAAGGAGGGAGCGCGTGTGGTACTGAGAAAGGAGACGGAAAGCCTGGACCACTGGAAGGAGGCAGGAGAGATGTCGGCGTGTTGGGAAGCGAGTGGAATGTCTGCTCCAGGTTGAGCAAGCCGACCGGATTCAAGTTCGGCCTGCCTGAGAAGGCTGGTGCCGCTGTGGCTGGCCCAAGTGCGAAAGTAGTGCTTGACGAGCGATCAACGAGCTTGAGCGAGCTCGGCGGCCGCCGCTTCATCTGCTTGCGATTATGCAGTGCCTCTGTCAAGGACGGGAAGACAAACATGCCATCCACAGGACCTGATCCGACCGACGGTGAAGACATCACGCTGGCTGGTTCGATCGACGGCGAGGATGGTCCCCTTGAGTCGAGTCTCCGTTGCCAAAGCGACTGCTGACTCGCGCGGGGGACGCTGAATGGGCCTGGCTGGGCTGCTGAGCCCGAAATGACGGCAGAAGACATGACGAAAGCGGACGAAGCCGAGATGAGGGCGTGAGATGCTGAGAAGGTGTCGGCAGCGCTTGCCAGAACCATCGTCAACTGCGCCTGGAAAGTCAGACTTTTAAACCTGACGGAGAGCTTGCAAGATGCGAAGAGAAGAGAGACTGACGAAGAGTGAGAAGGACGAACGTTTGCGTGACCGGAGCTATTAGTAACTCGATAAGGATCAAGTCATGTGGAGTATATACGTCGAGCTTCCTTTTGTGTTACTTGAGGAATCACCCTTATCGAACGCTGCGTGCGTTGGCGTCTGGCGACGGAGGAAGAGTAATGGGGCACAAGCGGTGCGTGTGGAAGGCTGGCGGTGACGGTGATGGTTGCCTCGCCTTGATCGCATTCACTGGCTGCCTGCAATGCACAATCCACGGGTTGCGAATGGTGACGCTGATGTCGGGTGGCGCTTGCTTTGTGTGTCGTAGACTGTCGTTCTGCACAGTAGTTGCACAGTATGTACATTAACTGAAGTCAAAGCGGTTCTTCTACGACACATTTGTGAGTTGCAAGACATAACCCGTACGAGGTGTCTCCGTCAGCGGTCAATAGTCCATGACCAAAGGCGCGTGACAGGCTGGCATGAATCTTGGTAAGGCTGAGCTGAATGAGCGACTTCGAAAGCACGAAGCTAGTGCCAGGCTTAGTACGGAGCCCGCTTGCAACGTGTCAGAGCAAGAAAGTTGACATTTGCAGAATCTCAACTGGGTCCAGCGGCCAGGGAGAGCGGCGGCCCCTTCTTGGGATCAACTGCAGAATTGGTCAGAAGACTAAGACTCCCGAGACGCTGACCATTACCTGAGATCTGGAGAGTGTGGGGAGGTATTGGACTGGTGCGGTGATCAGCGGGGCGATGTGGAAGGTGAGCAACCGGAGAGGGAGGGGAGTGTATGATAGGCAACATTGCTGCTGACCAAAGCTGGCACATCAACCAAACGCCAGAGCAAGCAAGACTGTGTTCAGCAGCAAAGGCCTCCCAAGTCTCACGTCCACACAAAGGTCGGGGTCCAAAAAGTGTCCAAAAGTATGTTTGTCTGCTTTTCGCGCTGAACAGAACAGACATCAAGCCCACACTTTCGAATCACGCCCGTGCGACACCGAGCGACTAGCATGATTGTATTAGGTCGAAGCAGTGTCGAGAATCGAGATGCCACACCGAACAGATTCCTGTTCGCCACCTGAAGTGCCAAATGCACTGTATTCTGCGTTCAAAGACAGCCGAAAAGCTGCAAACGTACAGGAGTAATCGAGTTGTGACGCTGGGACCAGGGGGTCGTGACGAGATCAGGCGAGACGAGCTCCGTGTTCATAGACTTCCACAGACCAGGGAAGTGCCAGGGATTGTCTCAGCAAAGCATCTGCCACACTTGCTTGCGAATCGAGTTCGGAGCCGCCCTCCGCGTTAAGTGTGGAGACTGTAGTCTACTCAACTGGACGTGCATGTGGCATGTGCATCGTGCAGCATGTTGCCTAGGGTGTAGGACTGCAGGTGGACGCTGGACAGTCCTGAACTGTGCAAACTCTGAGAACCTCTTCTAAACATACCGCCTCCCCCTGCAGGCCGCAGGACAAGATGCTGAATGACTGGAGACTGCCAGAGGATCGAGTGGAGGAAGGTCAGGTCAGAAGGGGCAGCGTGCATACATACATACACCAGGGAGAGAGAGCGAGCAGCGCTAGTATGCTTTACAGAGCCACGGAGGGAGCTTAGCAGCAAGAGTAACGGACCATCGCCAAATATGTGGCTGGCCTGCATCCAGAAGCAAGGGCGCGCAGAAGCAGCGACCGAGAAAAGAGGAGGCGCTGGTTTCTGCCTATAACGGTCCTGGCTCCTGACTCCTGCAGCCCAAGGCCTTTGGAATGCGGAGAGCTGGCGGGCGGAATTGGCTCACGTAATGACTCCACCATCACCAACCCTATTTGGCCACAGACCTGGTTCCTCCATCGGTGACGTCATCTACAGGGCTCGGCAACTAATCGGCGTCTTCTCAGCTCTATGTCCGTTTCTCTTCGTCATTGCTGAGCGATGTGATGATGTGGTGTATGATGCCTCTCATCCACGAGAAAGCTTTTCGCGATGCTCCGTTTGACAAACCCAGGGGGCCGCAACTGCAACTCCACCCCATCCCATTCTTCCAGAGGGTCGGAACACAACCTTCGCGAAGCATCGCCGACCATACCCCAGAAGCGACTCCAGCGCACGATCCACCCTGGGTGTTGACGTATAAATATAGGCCCGCCGCTCATCATGCTGTCCGCAAGGTCTGCCCGAACCGCAGCCAAACCAGTCACGCTCGCAACTCGCACTTCCGTGGCATTCTCCTCATCCAGAAATAGCAGCAGCATTGCCAGGCCTTTGGCAAACCAGCGCCGTCATCATGGCGTCACCATCCCAAAGCACACGGCAGCGGCAGCAGCAGGAACGCCTCGCTTGTTCCACAGCAGCGCTAAAGCCATGGGTGGCATTCACGAAGACGTCTCCCCCGACCAGTTCAAGCAGCTCGTCCTCACCGAGGGCGGCGCAGAGACGGAGACGGTCCTGGTAGAGTGAGCCCTGCATCTCTCCCGTCATCATGGACCTGACACTGACTTGCGCCCTTCTCCCACCACGCCACCAAAAATAAAAACTGCATTGTGGCACAGCTTCTTTGCAACCTGGTGTCACCCATGCAAGCTGCTCGCTCCCACCCTCCACAGGATCGCAAGGGACCCGGAATCACAAGTGACACTCGTTTCAGTAGACATAGATAAGTATCAGGAGCTCGCTGGCGCGTTCCGCATTTCCGCCGTGCCCACCGTCATTGGCTTCCACAAGGGCAAGCGCGTCAAGCAATTCAGTGGTTTCCTGTCAGAGGATGTGATAAGGCAATTCATCGCAGCGGTCAAAGAATGATGCGTGCGACCAACCTCAAGAGCAAAACCTAATGCTTTGTCTAACGTTGTTGTACTCTTAGCTGGGCTCGCTCTAAATGGGTGTTCTCATACATCTCTCATTCTCCATCTTTGCGCACCCACTTGCTTGCAAATACGAGGTACACTAACTGCATGTACGCTGACGAACATGCAAGCCCCTTTTGATCGCTCTCGCAGCTCTCGATTTCATCAAAATTGAGTGCGATGCATCGTCTTGTAAGCGTAACTCTGGCTGAGTGCCTGGTCTCCGATCGAAGACTTGCGCGCATGGCGCGCCCCCTTCCTGCTCGGCATCGCAATCTCCTTGGCCGTACTGCTAGCGCTGCTCCCCATCTGCTTGTCCACAGGCGATGAAGGAGCGAGGAGTGACGTCGAAGCGTGAGCGGAGGTCGAAGGGGACGTCGAGAAAGACGTGTTTGTCAACGTGGACGAGCTCTGAGCTCCAGTTGCTTCTCCTGCTGCGCCTGTGCGCGAGAGGCCCAGGATGGCCAAGCTGGCTGTCGGCCGCAACGAAGCGAGCGAAGGGAAGAAAGAAGCGGTCGAGCTGGACGGCGCCTTGCTGCCGTCGGTGCTACTGCTGCTCGAGGTGTTCACAGCGTCTCCACCTCGCTTGCCTTCGCTAGCGCTTGGACCAAAGCCGCTGAAGATACCTGTCGTAGACGCCGAGTCCTCCGACAACGCCGGCGAGTCCGTCCTCGCCACTTCGTCGGCCCGGATGGCCCGTGCGGTGGCATGTGCACCAGAGGAAGAGACTTGCAATGCCAAGCTAGACGCGGTGATCAGGCGCGAGATGGGCGAGGGCCTGGTTGCTGTTGCAGCTGCGCTAGCGGCAAGCGTGGCTGATGTGCCTGAGGCACTCGCATCACCGTGTTCCACAAAGGTTGAGTGGATGCTCGAGTCAGAAAGACCACGAGGCCGCAAGGTCCGCTCCAGCAGCGCCCCTCTAAACCCATCATCATCTGCTCTTGAGCCACCATGCCCCGACCTGCCGTGGTGCAAGCTGACCTCGTCGTCATCGACGATACGCGACAGAGGGCGCTGCATCGGCCCACCTCGATTTGGAATCAAGCCCGCTCCGAGCCTAGCGTTCGCTGAGAGCGCTGCGCTTGCGCTCGTACCTGCGCTGCTCGCTTCTCGCCTGTCCACTAGGTCCCACCCGCCCGCAGTCGGGCTGGAGAGGGCGACAGAGCCCGCGAAGAGGCCGCTGAGGTTGCGCGACTGGACGCGCGTCAGCGACTTGCGGCCGAGATTCGGATTGGGGCGCAGCCGCGGCTGATTGAGTGACGTCGGATCGGATGGGTCGGTCGATCCTGAAGGGGATGAGGCAGCAGCCTCGTTCGCTGGCGCGCTGTTCGCGGCAACGGCAACGGCAACGGCTGTGGTAGAGACAACAGATGCCTCGGCACGCGGCGCAGCTCGTACGGAAGCGCCGCCGCGCAATGTCACGGCCCTGGTTGCAAAAGATTGGGTAGCAGCCAGCGGAGAGTTCGCGGCGGCGCGCTCGATTTCTCCTGTTGAGGCACCTTGCAACCCGGACCCGGCAGACAAGGTAGTGTTGCCTGCCTTACCCGCGACCCCAGCGCCAGCACTAGCACTTCCACCACCGCCGAGAGGTGCCGAGGCACCCGCCCACATCTTGCTGAGCCACTCAGCTCCAGGCAACAGGCCTCTCTCTTCCATGGGTTCGAGACCAAGGTGTTCCTGCAGCAACTTGGCCGCGTGACTCGGCTGTAGATGTACTTCATTGACGCACGTCCTCAGTCTGCCGATCTCAACGAATAGATCCTTGAACGTCTTGATCAGCGCAAAAAACTCTCTGCGCGCAAGCAAGCTCTCCGACGAGCCACTGCCGCCATCTGCTTTGTTGTTGCTGCCACTGGTCGTGCTGGATCCGCAGTCCTCCCTCTCCTTATCTTTCTCCTTGTCCCTCGTTCGTGCCTCCTGCTCCACAAGGCGGCGGAAGTGCTCGCGCAATCCCTCGACATCGCGCATGATCGAGTTAAGCGTCGTGCGCGCCAGATGTCCGACGTCGCCTGTCAAGTGCTGGCGCTGCAAGCGCCGACTGAGCGTATTGACGTCGGCGGTGGAGAGGCGCGTGAAAAGGCGCTGCACAGAGTCGAGCAGGTTGCTCAGCTGCTGCGTGCGCGTGTCTTTCTCTCCACTGCGAGGGAGGAGAGAGCCCTTGCGGGAGAGCTGCGAGGACAAGTCGGACAGCGCCTGCGTCTGCGCTGGAGCAGGAGAGGCAGCAGCTGCAGCAACACCAGTACCTGCTGCATATTCTGAGTCGTCGTCGCCACCTTCCTTCTCCTTGGTTGAGCTGCGGTCGCTTGCATTGGACGCCAGTGTTGGCGCTCTCGGCATATCGGGCAGCAAGGAAGTGCGACTGGGCGGTGACACGAGCAGTGCCGGCTTTGGACTGTCCGTCCTTTTCTGCTGCTGCTGCTGACCAACCGCACTTGACACGGTATGGGCAGTAGCCGCGGCAGCCATCAGTTCATCTCCAAGCGGTGCACTGTCGTTGTATGCGGTCGCAGCAGGCGAATACACAGTGGTAGGCGAAGCGACGCTGGCTGAAGTCGCCAAGTTGAGGCTGCGTCGATGAGCGCCGTGCGTGGATCCAAATGAGCGTGGCATCTGTGCCTCCTTGAGCACGGCGGTCTCTTCGTTCTTGGCCTCGAGCATCTCTTTCAGATAGCGATTCTCTTCCTTGAGAGATTCGCTCTCCTGTACTAACATCTGCAGCATTTCCTGGTATGCATCCTCAGTCGCTTCCATTTCTGCTCGCATAACCTTTGCGCCACCGCTGCCACGAACATCTGCACCCATGCGCAGGCGCTCCTTTGCGCGCTCTATTGCGTCGCTGCCGACATCTACTGGCCGGTCCCTGCGGCTGAGCACCTCGAGCTCTTCCACCTTGCGCTTCAGCTGCTCGACAAGCTCTTCATTGCGCCTGCCGATGCGCTTAGCGAGCGAAGTGCTTGCCTCTTCGCGTTTGCGCATGGCGATGCTCTCTTGCCGGACATCTTCGAGCTCCTTGCTGAGCTTTTCGGCTCTCGCCACGGTGAGCGCGCACTTGGCATGCTCTTTTCGCGTTTTGGAAAGTGCATTGCGGACTTCGTCGAGTTCATGCAGCAGAATGCGGTTGGACGAGTCGGCTGCTTCCAGGTTCAAGTTGGATTGCGCAAGTTGGCGTTGCAGCGAGGAGGACTCTTTGATGCTGGAGGACAGCTTACTCATCAGAGCATCGCGCTGCGCACCGTAGTCTGTTTCGATTTTGGCGGAGCGCGCTACAGCTTCGTCATGCTTCTTGAGCAGCGCCTGGCCAATCTCTGCAATTCAGCGTTGTCAAGCGTTCAGAGAAGCGGAAAAGGGGGAGAGAGGAGGGGAGAGCCGCTCACCTGCTGCCAGTCGTAGATCCTCTTGCATATCAGACCACTCTCTTGCAGCTCTTGTAGCACGTGGACAGTCTTCTTTGTCGCAGCAGCACGTACAATATGGCCAAGAATCCTCATTGTCCTCTTCTGTACCGCTACCGACCCCACCACCACCGTCGGCAAAGCCGCCAGGGGCGATGCTGCCTAAGTTGCGCCTCTCCTTTCTGCGTGCACGTTTGGCAAGGTGTGGAATGAGGAAAGCAGAGCCAGAGCCGGCATTGTGCTTCGCATCACGCCCTGCTGCTCCGGCATCGGAGTGAAAGCTGCTGGATGCTGCGTCGTCCCAGTAGGCGGCGGAAGCAGGCCGCGATGGGCGATGGAGGCTGGCCGTCGCGCTGGAGCCTAGCGTGCTGGCGCTGGAGCTGCGTTCAGATAGCCTGACTGTCCGCGAACGAGTCCTTCCCGGGCTGTCCAAGGCGGGGGGACTGCTGCTACCGGAGCTGCTGCTGCTGGTGGCACGGCTGCGACTGCGAGGGCGAGCGCTGCCGGATGCTGATCGCAGGCTTGCGCCGGAGGATTTGATGCGGAGCGATGAATATGATGATCCGGACTGCCTGTTGTCATGGTACTCGTAGGAAGATCGGATGCTGCCGGTGCTGTGCTTGAGATCGTGCAGGACGCGGCTCAGCTCCTCGACGGTGGCGGCTCCGGGGATGGCGGCGGCGACGGCATGTTCCGACGAGGACAGATGGGCCGCCATGGCCCTGCACAAGGCAAGTGCGGGTGCCCGCAGTGCTGCGAGATGGATAACTGCGGTGACCAGCGGTACGGCAGACGGTGTGTGTCGCTTGAGGGATGTATGCAATGGGACACCCTATCTGATGAGACTCTGTTTGTTGTTGTTCCTGCTGGTGCTGGTGCTTTGGCTTGGCTTAGGCCATCGGCAACCTGTCCTCCGTCCACTTTTCGTCGGCGACTTTCTTCTCATATCGCTGAGAAGTCGCCGACCGACGGGGCGTGTGGCTTGTAGTGTGTTGTTGTTTGTGGTGCCCTTGAATCTCTCACATCATCTCCATCTGCATGCGCGCATCTCTGTAACGCTTCTGGGACCATCGTTTGTACGGCAGCACACAGCGTCTTGGCCTCGGCAGCAGTGCGCGCCCCTTGCCTGCCTGTATAACTGCCTCGCAACGTTTACCCTTCCCCCGGACTGTCACGCGAGACCTCGCGGGCCCCCCATACAGATCTCGCTGGCTGACGCCTCGCTCCCTCAGCCCATCGCATGACGTGCACGCCTCGGAAACGAGACAATGCCGCTACCGGACGAGTCCCCTCAGACAAAGGTTTCGGCACTCATCCAGAGATGGCAACAGCATGCGGATCAGAACGATGATGCCGCAGCGCCGGCGCCATCGCTGACGGCAACGACCACCGGAAGTGTGTCCAAGCTGCTGCTGCACCGTTCATCTTCGCTTAGATCCACCGCCAATGGCTCTCTGAGCACGGATAAGACTGCGCACCCGAATTGGCCTGCCAACGACGATGTATTTGGGAAAGACCCCAACCCAGATCTCGAGGCTGCAACCCCAAGCGCTGAGTCAAATCATCAGTCTGACCCTAACCAGAGCGGTGCTCGTTCAGCATGTACTTCCCCCGAAAATAAGGTGCGAGGCGAAGATTATGTACACTTGGCCTACCCCGTCATGCGAGACCGCACGAAGCGCGATGCTTCGCTCAATGGCGACGGTGATGCTATAGAGAGCAGAGGCGCAGGAAAGGAGACAATTCCAGTGCAAGCACAAGCCCAAGCACAGTCCTCTTCATCAATATCTGTATCATCACGTGCAAAGTCATATCCGTCCAAGCAGCAACCCGCAGCAGCTTCAGCAGGCAAGAAAAGCAGCACCACCCTCACGGCCTCGTGCGCCAGAGCCCACAGCGTGGGCAGCAACTCTGCTCGGTTGCGGAAAACTGCACCCGCCGTGGCTGCTAAGGAGGACGCGGCAACTATCGGCCGATCGTGCTCAGGAGGCAATATGCGACCGGCCGCGTCGACCAGCACGCCACCCAAAGCGCAGGCTCAGCCCGGCATCAGCACCAGCACAACCAAGAGTAGAAGTTGTAGCATCAACAGCATCCACAGCAGCAGCAGTAGCAGCAGCGTGCACGCCTCCACAGCAGCCAGCAGACAGCGCGCAAAGGAGACAATGATGGCCATGCAGCAAATCCGATCAAATACTTCGTCTTTGCAGCTTGGTTCTGCTGCTAGTGTTGCTGGTGAAAGGGTACCGTCCAAACGCATCAATTCGCATTCCTCGCACTCGAATGCGGCACATACTAAAAGCACATCTTGCACAAAGCCAAGTGCTCCCAAAGCACCTGGGAGGGCTTCATCCGGCGTAAAATCAGCCGCTACAGGCAAAAAAGCACTGCGCAGCAATAGCGGCAGCAGCAGCACTAGCAGTTCCCATTCCCCCCAAACAACCAAAATCATTCCCATGCATTCGCACTCAGCAACCTCAGATGCTAGCGCCAACAGCAAAGGACCAACAACAACAGGAGCAGGAGCAGCAGCTTCGGCGTCGGAGCCCTCGAATGACGTGGCAGCGGCAACAAGCGCGCACCCTGAGCTCAACCGTGCAACGGTTCCTGCATTGGTTGTAAAGGGCAGTCAGCCGCTAAAGTCGGCAGAAGTCAAGCTGGGCATCGACCCTACCAAAGCTGACACACAAGGTTGTGAAGAGACCGCTGTCAACGCTGAGTCAGCGAAAAGCACCACCTGAGCTAGAGCCGCCAGTGGCGAACCTGCAGATCGACAAATGACAAGCATTCACGAATCACATATCTGTTCGAGCACGCAAGATACCACCAAGTGCATCGATTCCCATACAAGCAAAATGGTCTCTCTAACGTCAGTCATTTCAGCTTCATATGATGGCACCATGATGGATTGTTGTATGATACGGTGAACCCGAATACATCGCAAAAGGTGAGTGCTCCTTCCTATCTTGCTTTTTTACAAGTTTCGCTTAGCGCTGGCGATCTCCGCATCAGACTTGAGCTCGACAGTCCAATAGACCGGCTGATCCGTCTGCAACTTAACGATGCCATCTTCGTTGGCCATATGGTTGGAAGTGGAGAGCAGCCCTCCCAGGTGCGTGCCAGTGTCCGCATCTGTGCAAAACACGAAACCAGGTCAGCGCTCTGCCTTGTTGGAACATCCCTCGGACTACGGATCAAGGCTCGGTTACTCACTCAAATTCCACCGGAGACCATTCGTCACTACGCGTGCCCCTCCATTCTGCACGCCGATGCCCAACGGAAGCACGCCACATGTCTTACCCATAACGCGCTGTGACATCTGCAAGTCGTGCTCGCCAGCCGGCAGCAACCACGTGACGCTGTCGTCGTTGACAACCCACGCCCGATTGCGCTTGCGCACCTTACCACCACGCTCTGCGCTGTCGGGGTCGTCAACGCCCTTGGGCGTTTCTACACCCTCGGCGAGCTGCCACAGCACATGCAGAGTGTGGCAAGTCTGATCGAAACGCCCAGATAATCCGCCGTAGATCAACAAATCCCCACGCAACCAGCCTCCTGACTCTTCCTCCATGTCCTCGGCTCGCTGGATCGATTTTTGCAAGTCAGTGGCATATTGTGATGGCCGCTGCACGATTTGAGTCCCCCTTTGCTCGAAGAATTGTCGCACCTCGGGTCGCAGGGAATCGAGGTCACCGACGATCTCATTCGGTGGAACAAATTGGCCCTTTTCGGACGGCGACATTGGAACAGGGCCAGCTTCTGCAAAATCGCGAAAGCCTCGAGATGACAGAGCATCGAACAGTCTGTTCGCCGCTCCATCAGCGCAAATTCTGTACACGGCTGCAAAGATGGGACGTCAGAAACTTGCTCACAGGGAAGGGAGGCACCTCTTGGTGCTTACCCCGGTGCCATAGACGTTCGAACATGCTCTCGTGGGCCCGAGGGATCGCTTGATTGACCATGACCAGAAAGTATGAGGGGTTCAGATCTTCAGGCGATAATATATTTGTTGGACTCCACCAGCCCAAGTATTTGCGAGGTGGCGAAAGTAGCCTCTTCTCGGCCCAAGGGCTCGCTTTCTCTGCAACCTTGGTTGCAATCATTTTTGCTCCAACACTATGCTCCCCTTGGCTTGGCGTTCCTTCTGCACTTGCTTTCTTTGCATCTGTAGCTGGGTTCCCCTCGCTGGGCAGCACGTCCGGCCGCCGAAAGGCAGGATCTTTCGTACCTTCAACCAAAGGTGCAGAAGTTGGGGCTAACGCGGATGTTCTGTGGGTTTCCGAGCCGGGGACTTGAGCGTGCACCATGTGGGGTCCGTGATCAACGAAGGGGCCATTTTCTTGGGGGTTTGCAGGCGGCCTCCCAGGAGGCGCCTGAATTGACGATGTCTCGGGCATTTCACGTGTCAGCATCGGTCGTGGCAGCAGTGGGTATTTGCCGTATCCCCTGGCCATAAGGGGAGGGTCGGATTCGCGGGAATGCCGTGACGCAGATTGATGGCGATCAAATATGTAATCCCGCGTCCGTGTGTGATCATGCGCAGAGTGTCAATCTCTTGTATGACTGGAAATATATGCGTTTGGGTCATGCCTAGCATGGGCTGATGAAGGTTCACTCCGATGAGTTGGTGGGACGGGGCACGAGGGTCGATCAAGCTCGACTGACGGGTTCTAATCTCTGAAACCAGAAGGGGAGCCAGCCGGAGACGCTGTTTTCAAAGATATTCTCTCGCCCAAGCGGCTGAGCAAATCAGAAGATACAGACTGAGTCAAGCTGGCTCTGGGCTGCCAATCGCTGGCGTTCGATTGTGCTTCAATGTGAATAGATGGTGACTTTTGCCGCAGCGAGGGTCTTCGTGGCTCTCGAAGTGCCTCCGTATGGCTTGTCGCCGGCTCTATTCGATATTTCAGAGCCGTGATAGATGATCTAAACGCTGAAGTGTGGGCTTCTGTTTGGCGATCTAAATAAGATGGCTCGGTCTCTCCTAGAGCGAGACTCCTTATGGAATTTACTAGCGATTCCTCCTGGGCGGCCCTATGGAGCTCGCCTGTCGGGCCACCGCGAAGGAGCTGCGCTCGAAGTAAAAATAGTGCTGCCTAATCGTGAATATCGTGAATGGTATTGCGCACTGCCCCAGCGGTCACGTCCACGTCATTCCCATCCATCGTAGGGTTCGGGGGCTATTGAGTAGGGTGGGTCTATGTGAAGCTGTGGCACTGGCCGCTCTTACCCTACATTCGAGGGCTGCTGTGGGCGTCGAGGGTCATGAGGGAGGCGTACATCCATTCTGTCCGATGTATCAAGAAACCAAATTGTGGATTAGTTTAGAATGTTGAGCCGGCGGGCGCACGCATGAGACATCGCACCCATTGCTATCATAGAGCTATGCTTGGATTTGGCACTGGGCTGCAAATACTGTTGACCAGGCGGGGAAATGGAGGCTCTCTCGACGACGGAAGCCGAAACGAAGCATGGCTACCTAGTTCCTTCCGCCCATATCTATCATGTTACTGAAGTCTCACTGTCCTTTTGAAGCAAGATGGCTTTAGGAGACTTTTGACATTCATCTTTTTTTCTCACAGCGTGCACATTCACCCTGCATTCGTGGCCTTGCGGCTTGCCTGTCGGATAGCTTACAGCCACAACGAAACTGCTGAGGGCCACAAGGAATGCCACGACCGTGTCCTTCGGACGGCTTCGCGGACTCGGACCGCAAATATCCCCCACTTTGATAACTGTCACTCTCGGATCTGCACTGCACAGTCTTGACGCCATGGCGCCCATGTCGGTCATAGAGCCCTGGGATCTCCCTGACTTTCCCTTTGACAAGGAACTCTCGGAAGACGAAAACTTTTTGGCTTGGGCGCAGGCGCTAGCTCGCTTCTCAGTCTCTCGCAAGGGTCACATGGGCGCCATCCTTGTCAGGCCACATCAGCAAGATGATGAGGTACCCAGCAATTGCATGCGCCCATTACCGCCCGCAGATGCAGGCAAGCGTTTCACGCCTGGCGCAATAAGAGAACGAGTCGTGGTCTATGCAAATAACACGCCACTTCTCTTCAACTCGAGCCCTAAGCAAGTGCAAGAGATCCACGCGGAGGCTTTGTGCATATCCAGAGCTGCCCGACTGGGACGTTGTACAGCCGGGTGCACGATTTACATAACCTTTCCGCCCTGCAATGAATGTTTCAAGTCCATCGTTGCAGCAGGCATCAAGAGGTGTGTGTATCGCAAGAACATCCGCTACCCGTCTGGCGAGGCGGTCTTGGCGACTGCAGCCGTTCATGGCATAGAGATGTGCGGGACGTCAGAACAACAGCGACCAGGTGTCTCCGACGAGCAATATCTTGTTTCGCTCTCGCAGGAGAAGGCAGCGGATGGCAAACGTGACGAACAGACCAAAGAATTCTGGGACTCAATAGGCGAGACAACAGTGGTCACTCGGAACAGGGTCAACGGATGGTGGACCAATTTCATGACGAGCAACAAAGCCGCTGTTAGGAACCTACAGGCCCATTTTGGCACCTCGGCAGCTCGTCGCCCTCAGAAAAAGTCGCTTCTCGCGACTGGCACATTGGGCCCCAACAGGAATTCGACAGGCAAGGACGATCGGCACGAGCCCTCAAATCAGGCAGATGCGCAAATCAGTCTAAACACAAAGGAGCAAGACACAGCGGGGGCCGCATGTGAAGATGACGATGATGATGCTTATATGAATGCTGTGGGGGAGGCGCAAGGAAAAGGGAAAAGGGCATCAGAGGAGGGCCTTCTACCGTCCACAAAACGGCCCAAGGAAACCTGACGCTGAGACATATTTGAATCAAGCAAGGAAACTCAAATGCTGTTGCACACCTCATTCGATCACGCCCCTCCGGATGCATCGCATTTGTTCCAAGTCTGCGCGCCACATGTATATCTGACATTACACTATACTTTCCAATTCCTTTGCAAACTGTAAGTTGAGTGCAATGATGCTCTTCTTTGGGATCTCGGTCTTGCTATAGTCGGGAGCCGCATTGGGGAAATGCACAGTTTGCGTTGTTGGATTGATGATCCACCCACGCTGCGTAAGGAAAGCATTAGCGTCAGTGTGCCGGTTTCGCATGAAGGTGAGAATACCGAGTCGGGCTCACTTCATTCGCAAAATTCATGACATCCTGCGCATTGTCGAAGAAGAGCAGCATCGCAGCATCGCGCAGTGGGAGACTGTCATAAGCCTTCTCTTCACATGAGGCGATTTCATGCCTGTAAAGAACGAAGAGTGGAGCCCATTCTGCTTAGTGCGCGCGTGCTTGATACTTTGACAATGCTGCTGCTGTGCTCACCGAATAGTGCCCATCAAGCTATCGACAAAGAACTTGTATTCTTCCCGGGGCGCTTCTTTCTGTGCACGCCACACCTTTGAATAACTGCCTTCCATCAGCCAGCGTTCCAAGTTGACTGGATGCTGCAAGTAAGGTGATTTTTGAACGAGATCTGAAGGCAGTGCTTCTAGAGCTGTATGGAACGATGCGATAGCGTTCGAAGAGAGCAACCGGAGAAGCGATAGTCCGAGCAAAGGCTCATGGTTGGTTGATGGCGGCAACTGGGAGCTGATGATGGAGGCATGCGCACGAGTCAGCAAAGATGACATAGGTTGGTTGCTACTAGGAAGCGAACTGACCTAAAGTCATTGTAGAAGGCCTTGAGCAAGTTCATGTATCGGTCGAAAGAATTGATGTCCTTTACTCGAATGCTGAAAAGCGCACCAACCTCGAGTACATCCCTGGCCATCACCAATGATTCCACATCTGCAGGAAGCTGTGCTCTTGACGCCCCATCGCTGGTGCCGCCCGCGGAAGTAGTGACTGAAAAGGAAGGCACCAGCAGGCCAGCTTCTGTCAGAGCAATTTTGAGCTTGGTCAGTTGAGATCGGACAGATGTTGTATCGGATGAATTTGACTGAAAGGTACGCAGGAGTTCTGCGTGTGCTTCCTTGAGATGCGCCGCCATCACGACTGCGTCCGTGTGATTGCGTGAGGCAGCACCAGCTGACGACGAAGTCTTTGCGATGGGGAGTTGGTAATTGTCCAATTCTTTGGCGACGGAAAGCGTGGGAGGCTGCTGATCGGGAGCTGTATCTTGTTTAGCTGACTCAGTGTCTGTGTTTCCACAACGCTGACGCTTGGCGCGCTGCTCTTGTTTCGGAAGGTCGGTGGCCTCTGTCTCCGGGACCTTTCTGCGTGGCATAGAGTGAAAAGAGGCGAATCAAAGTTGGCTGCACCCGTGTGCTGCCTTGGGATCTTGCGTCGACCTTTGTGCAAATGCGTCCCAGATGAAAAGAGCCAGACGTGCGATGGAGGGTTAGAGGGAGGTTGGTCAAGGCGACGTCTCCTTATGAGGCCCTACAGCAAGGGGGTGGTTCGCTTCGTCCGTTGGGTCTAGGGAGTCTGCGAGAACACTTGCTGAATATTCAGCAGCGCATACGTTGTCCTGGAGGGTGAGCCGCTACCTAAGTCGAAGTCTTCGATGGTATGTTATGACGGAGCGCTCGAGTGTTGAGTCCCGTGTTGGTTGAACGGTGAGTGCGGCAAGCAACACACGTCAGCCCCCTCTGCGAGGGCTAGAAGGCGAGCACTGCAGCTGTCTCTGCGCCATCCCTTTGATTCTCTCTGCCCCAGCAGTCCACACCGTTCAACTCTCACCTTTCGGACGCGTAGGACTTGAAGAGGGGGATTGCACCGAACGCGTCATAGTCAGCGGCCGGCCTTGAAGGAAATTCTAGACTGCTTGGGTACCTGTGTACTGTTGGCCAAAAAATCTTTTGCGTCTTGGTTGTCCATGCAAGATCTGGAGACGTTTGATCTCGAAAGCCTTGCAAAGTTGGACTGAGAGCACATTTGCGTTCTCTGATAACACCTTCACAGCATTAACTGGGCTCCAAAGGATAGCGGATTGACGGATCGCTCGCAGGAGCAGCACATCACAAAGGGTATCCACCTTTTAAAATCCTTGGCAAGATGGCAACTAGACTTGCGGCAGCGGCGCAGGCCACCAGCTCAAAGGGCAAGAGAAAGCTCAGGGAGGAGGATGAAGAGATCGCTGCTTCAACCACGCCGGCCCTACGGAAAAACAGGCAGCGCGTTCTTGTTCTTCCCTCACGCGGCGTCACCTCACAGATGCGCCACCTCATCAATGATATCGAATCGCTGCTGCCGCACTCGAAGAAGGGTACGTCGCATGAGCTGCAGTCTTTCTTTCTGTCGAAGAGAAATGAGATTTTAAGAATCCTCTTCACGTAGACTCCAAGCTCGACTCCAAGTCAAATCTGCACATCCTAAATGAGCTTGCCGAATTAAACAATTGCAATGTGAGAGCTCTACAATGATTGCTATTGCCTACAGTCTCTTGGTTGACGTGAGCCTCGCCGAAAGAACACACTCTACTTTGAAGCGAGAAAGCACACAGACCTGTACTTGTGGATGTCCAAGACTCCCAATGGCCCTTCTGTCAAGCTTCAAGTGCAGAACATTCACACGATGGACGAGCTCAAAATGACCGGCAATTGTCTCAAGGGTAGCCGGCATGTTGTCAGCTTTGACAAAGGATTCGATTTAGCTCCTCACACGATGCTCATGAAGGAACTTCTGACGCAGGTAGGCCAGATTCCAGGAGGGGCGGTGATAGATGACTATGGAACTGAATTTCATTTGTGCCTGCCATGCCAGATCTTTGCCGTTCCACGGACATCGCGGCGAACAAAACCATTCGTCGACCACGTACTATCCTTCTCCTACCTGGACGGGAAAATATGGTTCCGCAACTTTCAGATTACTGAATCATTGGCACACGAGAGCGCATCGGAGCTGGCAGCGGCAGCTCTTGAAAACGCGAAAGACCGTGCCTCCAAGTCGAAAAAGGGGAAAGATCAGAATGCTAAGCCGCCCACCCTGATTGAGATCGGTCCACGGTTCGTCATGGTCCCCATCAAAATTTTTGAAGGCAGCTTTGGAGGGGCGACGCTCTTTGACAACCCAGGTACGTGATGTGCCTTTTTCATCTTTTTTAGAATCCTGCTGGTGGGTGGTTCACCTGCTCACACGTTTGTCTCGCTTCCTGTTGCTCCAGAATACGTATCACCCAACGCAGTTCGGCATGCCATGCGCAGAAAGAAGGGAGAGAAGTTCACAGACAAGGTCAAGCAGCAGAACGCTCTCGAAGAGAAGCGAGCTGCCTTGCAGCTACCTGAGGATGAGCTTTCCAACCGTAAAGTCTTCGGCTAATGCCAGAGCGCATGCGCTGTTGGGGTCACAGATCCAATGATTTGTACTTTAAAGTGCAACAGTCACGCACGTGTACCCTATTTTCTCGATGACGAGAACCTCCCAACTGCATCGCGCTTTCCCTGAAATAGCCTGGGCCAAAAAAAGAGGATGAGTGCGCGGTGAAGGTTGGATGGTGGACTGTAATTCTTGCCCGTCCCTCCTACAGGCCTATACAAAGAGAAGGAAACGTCATGTTCAACACAGACATATCTTTGTCTCGGGGCCGCTGCACGCAAAGCTTCGCTACCCTCTGTGACTTCGTGTGAGGAGTGTGAATGGCACATTACCTACTGTTGACCCGCCGAATGCATGAGATCAAGTTGCAAAGGCTAAAAATCCCAGTATATTTATCGGGGACTTCTCGCCGACTGATTATTAGAAACACACGTGCGATTACGCATTATTTGGCATCCTCGCTCAAGCTCTCAAGCGGCACGAGGATTTTTATGTCACGATGGCCCGTGGACATGCAAATGTTGTCATGCTCCTGTTGCAAGCTGTCGGCCTGGTGCACACAGGAAACTGATGAACGCAAACTGGATGCAACCGAAGTAGCATCATATTTGACTTGCTATCATGCAAGGGGCGCTGCAGATGTCGCGCTAGTGGATATCACCAGCAATGAGCCGCTGCCACACGGTAATATCTCCTCTTCGCGTGCAACGCCATACATCCTTCGCGGCACCGCAATGACTCCGCAGTCAAGGCAGTCACAGCAACGATTCGGCCCACAATTCAGATCGTTGGACTGAGCAAATCCATGCTCAAAGACACTCAGACGGCAGTATGGACAATCCTACAGGCGGACGCAGGTCATGGCTGGTAAGGACTGTATCCGCCGTCTACGAACGACAGCGGAGGCCCTATCGCATGGCTGTGGTCGCTTTGTTTACCAACTTTGGCCAAGGCCTACAATCGGCGAGTATGTTCAAAGCCTACAATATCATTTGCCGGGTTTACGATGATCGCGTGCGGGAGAGCTTACCCAGCTTCACTACTCTCACATCCTCGCCAGAGTTGTCACTCAGCCGCATTGCAACTCTCAATGGGTTTCAGCACACCACTTCATGTATTCTCCAGGTATGCCAACCATTGGGGCGCTCTCTGCCCTGCTTCTCCTCGAACGTGTGACACACTTGACAGAACGGTTTGAGAGGAAGAGTCTACTCCTTGTCACGGTTCTCTTCGTGGCTGCAGGCTACTCTGCCTTTGAATCAGCATCCTCTTGCTACCGATTACAGCTGCCGTCATCCTCTTTATCGCTGTCATCATCTTGAAGGCCTCGCCAGGGACTCTACTTCGGGTCGCAATCCAGGAATGTGTCGTTGACACCAGAGAGGAGAGCGACATAGGCACACCTTGAGCTTTAACGAATGCTTCGGGTGATTGGCGCATTTCCATCAAGCGCATTACGCGGAGTCCTGGCAGCGGCAACGCACTCTGTCAGTGCTCCCTGTTACACAACCAATGCATTTTTGCGACAGCCTTGTTCTACACCTTGGCCCTTGTTCCAGAAAGCAAAACACGCAATCAAAGTATCATCTTTGAGCAGCTGACCTTGCCTGAAGGCGAAAGCGCAACAGCAGCAACAAACGAGACAGACGCACATTTCATCAGAAGCCAAGACGGTTCTGCCAGTTTCGTCACTTCAGGCCCGTGGTACGACTTTTTGCGACTCTGGGACTACTGCGACCCACAAAGGGCAATCTACGCGCAAGAAACGAGGACGCCGTTCGTAGGCGACGCGACAGGTGACGCCTCAACCTTGCGCTCGTCATTTTATTTGAAGAGTCATTTCAAGTCTTCCTTGTCCCACTCCTGCTGCTGTACAACGCCGACAATCTAGGCCTCGATGTGGTGCAGAATGGATATCTTGTCACCATCCTGTAAGGCTCACGCGCCGCTTTCCTCTCTTTCATCGTCCCACTGCCTTGGCCAAAGCTCGCCTAATGTTGAGGCGCCGAATTTCCCGCGGCTGAAGGAAACCAGCCAAGACCCAAAACGAGAGCGTCTGCTGCCGCACCAAGGGTCCGCTCCCCACGATCTACGGAACATTGATCGCAGTTTTGGAGAGGGCACCCGGCCTGAAGGGATACACACAGAGTCGAAACACACTGACGCCATGGACACTGGCCGCTTGGATATTTACACTATGCTCATCTCCTACAGATGGAACGCCGTCGGATTCAGCGTGATTGATCTGGCACACAGACTCTCTTGGCCGCTTTCGCAAGGGACATGTATTCAGTTGCTAGAGCTTGGCGCAGGCGCTATATCCATCCGCATAGCCTTTTTCTTCAATTCAGTCTCCTAGGAAACGGAGGCAGAGGCAGAGGCGTTGGCGGCTTGCCAGATGATCTCATTTGTATTCGCTACCATACCTCTTTTCAGTAATGTGGTCTATTCCTAAGGCTTATCTTTGCACTTGCCCGAGCTTCTGTGGGTGCTCGAAGCTTCATTCGCCTCATTTACCACGGTTGATACAATGCCGTTGTAAGCAGAGCAGGACTCCTTTGCATTGTAATGATGCATCGCTGACACTTTGCGCATTGTTCTGGCGCCAAGATACTGGTCCAATGTAGCATCTACTGAGCCCTAGCAGGACTCAGAGGACGAAGGTGCAGTCTGGGCTTGGCTCGAACATGCACTGTGGCGTAGGTGAGGCGTTTCTCAGACGAACCGTACTCACATTTAACGAACTATATAGCTATTTCCGAGGATGAAGACTCGCAGATGAGCGACGAGAACGTTGCGTCGCCAGTAGCTTTCTAGTGAAGTTGCGGCGGGAACGCAAGTTCAAGGAGGCACCAGATCCAGAATCACAGGGAGTTCCAGTGACGTTCGACTCCGGGAGTAATCACATGAAGGTGAATGATAAGCGGCTGAGAAATGGTTGTAAAGGCGTAAATGGAGATTGCTATGTCAAGGAAGTGGATAACAGACGCTTTCCCATGGGCTTGCAAGGAGGCTGCCCAGCTGAACCAGTTCAATCTCAAGGATCTCCGCTGGGAATGGATAACTTACACCGAAGTCTTGTACGACTCAGGCTCGGTGACGGACCTTATCGGTATTATGGTGGTCACTCAGGCGAAGCTGAAGACGATTTCGACGAGTAAATAGTCATCTTCCAGGACAGCAGCAATTAACTCACCCAAGTTCTCATCGACAAGCGGCACCAGTCCACAGTCGTTCCCTCTGGGAAGATGATATGCCTCAGCCTTCCGTATTACTCACATGAGCATCTTATTTTGGTCGCAATGAGCCACCCCTTCAATAGGCTATGAGCCCAAACCCCCCGTCTGACTTGAACACACAATAGGCTTGACGCAAA